GTTTTCGGCCATGGGGGTTGTGCTAGTCTGTACGTCACAGGGAGGTACATTAAGTACTCACATCAATGGAAAGTTTATAGATGCAGACGTAGCTACTGACAAAGCAATGTTATGCAATTGACAATTGTATCATAAAAATAGCTACAGTCAAATACCCTTGTGTCCGAGGGGACCCACGTAAATACTTCGAGTCTTCCAAGGGTCGACACACCCGCAACTTAGAATTACGGAGGAACAAAGCTTTTACATCGGGACAAACGCAAGGTTTAAACATCGACAAAAAGGTTCGACACTTAAGTGTTTGACTGTAGTAGTAGTGAGTTTAGTTTTACGCCACCTCAGCAATATTCCAGCTATATGGCGGCGGTCTGTAAATAATCGAGTCTGGACCAGACATTCCAGTGATCAAAAGCATGAGCATCGATCTACGCAGAACGGCAGTACACACAAAAGAGGGACATCAGAAATTGAATGACTGACTGACTGACTGAGTTTGGTTTTACGCCGCTTTTAGCAATATTCCAGCAATATCACGGCGGGGGACACCAGAAATGGGCTTCATTCATTGTACCCATGTGGGGATTCGAACCCGGGTCTTCGGCGTGACGAACCAACGCTTTAACCACTAGACTACCCCACCGCCCGAAATTGAATGACAGTACAAAAGAATGACAACAGTGGATAGGAATATTTGGTGCTGTTAATAGTTTGAGTATAGCGAGAACTTGCTAAACTGAATTAAGTGCAAACAGTGGAATAAATATTAATAACATTAAACATGATAATAATGAGACATTTTTACAAACATGCCAGTCACGTTTGCAGTCTGATCCATGTTGAGCATCAGCAATAATAATGGGGTCTATAAAAGTTTAAAATATTATGGATGTCAACATCCATATTTTGAACCTGATGAAGAAGTAAGAATATACTCCGAAACGTGTTCCAACACAATTTCCGATTTTGTCTCAAAACCATCCTCTTCAAACGAGCATTGCACTAAGCGCACATGAGCAGGACTCTGGATATGAAGCGCTATACAAATGTGTAATTTGACGGATTGATTCTTCATGATATAGAAGTTGATTTTCTGTCAATTTTCACTTTATATGTGTATCACTTCTAAATGCTGTTCGTAGACTTTATATATTGCCTTCAGTACGGTTAATTTCAAAATTCAATTGCAGAAAAGGCAGGCTTGGTGGTGGTATCTTTGACAATGGTACTCCTGGGAGGAATCCCAGCGTGATTGGGAGGTTAGCCAATATCGGAGTTCGCTGAACCCTGGTCTGCTGATCTTGATCTTGACCGTACCGATCCTCAGATGATCATGGTTTCAGGCTGAGTGAAGTTGAACGTCGAGATGTGACATCCTAATTCACATCGGGGTATCGACGATCCTCCTGAGAGTAGTTGCGAGAGTTGGACCACTACGAATGTCGATCAGAAGGAGAATCAGACGAGTCATTCGGGGTTCCAATGAGGGCCAATCGCCAGAGGATTGGAGACTGCAGTGTGGAGTGAAGTTCTTCGGAATACACTCCGGGAGAAAGAACTGGACGTTCTCAATGGCAGTCGACGATTGAGGCGAAGCTCCGTCCCTGACAATCTCCTTGGCTGAGATTAAATTAAAGGTTCAGCCAAACTGGCGTCCGATGGATGCAGTCTGCGACTCTGCGGACATACGATTATGTCAAAACTTGCAAAGCTTGCGACTTCAAACTTGGATGCAAACATACAGCAGGTACTCTTCTGTCAAGGAGTCTGATACTCCGCCATCGTCAGGTGAAAATACGGGAGGCATAAGGTCCGAAGTAGATCAGTCAGTCCATCTCTTTGACTTTAAGTCTAAACAGGGTTCTTCTGGGACTTGTTCTCGGAGTCGACACTTGTGAAAAGAGAGGGTGAAGGATTCTTCCTGTTAAGTAGGCACACTGAGCGCAACTTTAGAGAAATATAGGGATTTCATCATTTAGTGATGTGTCTACTTCAGTGATTGCCAGTAAGGCCAGAACGCATGAATCATGAGAGGCAGAACACATTATGGATATATATACACAAAGAAGTTAGCTAAGCACCCCGACATATCTCACGATTGAATAAGCCCCGATCCTAACCCTTTGGAGCATGTCTGGGACACGATTGATAGTCGTGTGCAACAAAGGGATCCTGCTGTACAGAACCTGGCCCAATTAGGAGCTGCTTTGCACAAGGAATGGCGTAGACTGGCCCTTCAGAGGATCAGGAGGCTGACAGTGGGTATGAGGCAGAGAGTGTTGGCTGTCAGTCACATGGAGGTTACACTCGGTATTGACCTTGAATCGTGTAAGACACGCAAAATGACATTTTGAATGTCCACATTTACCAATAAATTCAACATTAAACATTCCAGGGCCATACTTGTACAGACATGGTTTTGTATGAAAATCAGGGGTTTGTTTTTCCCATCGTTGAAAACCTATCATTGCAAAAATACAGGGTGTGCTTAATTGTGTGCGTGCGTGTGTGGTTGTGTGTGTGTGGTTTCAGGTTCAACATATGGAGTCAAATGTAGGGTGTTTCTTCGCGTCATGTATTGTTTAATTACTAAGAAAGATAACCACACAATATTGGACAACGTTTAAGGCAACATAGCCTTGAGATATCCAAAGGGGTCCGTGTCTTAATCAATTACGGAGTAATGTAAAACTATACATGTTTATCTAACAGTCATTGTAGGTTGTGCCGAAAAAGGTCCAAACTCTGTTTTACAAATGGACCTTTTTCAAGCAATGAACAGAAATTATGAGAGCTATTTTTAATTAATATACCAATTTCGTGTTTCTCACAGACATTACCAATTACAAGCCATGACGTCAAAACAAAATGTGTCCTTTAGAAGTAATTCTTTACATTTGACTACAAAGCTTGCATTGCAATAGTAGTGGTGCAACAAGTCAGTTTATACTGACAATCACCATCACATATCTGACAGGGCTATCCATTAGGACTATTACTCCTTTTTTATGTATTTCGTCATTTCCATGACACATGCTACCATGCTTTATCACGCAAAGGTAATAATAATGAAATTAGACCTGAGAAAATAAGCTGAACGCTCTTAAAGTCAAAGCCACAAATACCTACGCTGTGCCCGTCCTCTCGCATTCTTTTGGAGCTACTGATTTGACAAAACAAGAAATTCGAAGTATTGACACGCTCATACAAACAATCACATCAGACGATAGAGCCCACCCTCGCCCTTCCCTCAGTCGTTATTTGTAAAATTAATGAGTGAGTGAGTTGGGTTTACGCCGCTTATTATCAAATTAATGGGAGGGCGTGGTTTCATTACAGACTGTTTTGTGTACTTATCCACACATTTGTCTGATGATTCCCCCGTAGGGCATGTCATGAAGACAAGGCATTCCACAGTTAACTTTAACAGCCAAGGATGATGGAGAAAATTAGGTGTCAACCACGTGTTGTGCCATTTTAAATCAACACAGGATGTTTTCCAAGGAGAGTCTCTCTGAACGACCGCAGCACTAATTTTATGCGCAGTGTGTTGAGGTTAAGAGGAGCCATGCTGAGCGATTCGCGGACCTGAAAAGTGGAACAGAAGGCTTCCTGTTTGCTGCTCAGGACCAGTCACTTCCCACTCGTATCCTTCAAAGTGTTATTTTGCAACTAAATAAGAACATGAAATGTAATGAATTTAATTAGACTGTTCAACACCTTGTCAGTGGATGCCTACCGTTGGCACAAACACAGAATTTTAATCTACATGATAGCGTTGATCGGTCATTATATTTCTGTCTTCGCTAAAAGTTCACTTTTCAGATCTTATGAAAACGATGGTCAGAAAAACAGCTCGTCATTGCACAGGGGCAAAGAACTGACCAATAAAGAAATCGTTACGCTGGCATGTACATCATACTTATTTCACAAAACGTTGTAGGAATTCATGCTCTTGTTCGGAAATCCACGATAAGACTCATGTTTCAAATTCGGAATATTTTAACCCTGTTAAAGATCAAATGCTAAATCCCAAACGTATGTACATTTGACATCAAACCATAAGGTAACATTCATATTACGGGAAAGGGATGATTCACATAGATAATTTTAACTGTGTTCTTCTTGCACACCCATTCTTTCATCAGTATCTACATAGGTACCAATGAGTAGAATGAAAAAAAATATCATTCACCTTTACAACATCATCCACACATCTGTTCCAATATATGATAAACAAGGAAACAATCAATGATTCATACAGAGTTTATTGGGTTGTTGTAAGGGACTGTGAGCACTGTGTCACCTACAGTACATAATATGAGGGCTGCTGGGGTTACATGAATACATTAGGGACCCCTCAAGTACTGTCAATCTGCTGGAGAGAAACAAACATATTTCTTTATAGAACAGACGATTGCTCGTATAACAGTCGAAATTCCTAAAAAATGTAATTACCACATCAAAACAATAACAAATCCTTAAGGTTCTTAAGTTGTGTATCAAAATGAGTGAAGCTCCATCTGACTTACATCTGATCGAACCAACTTTTGGATAATTCCGTGAGCCAGGTTCCATGGGTTTACCTGAGGTCATGCTGTGTATATACACCTTCTACAAAGGGGGGATGTTCATGTGGGGCCCTGTATCCCCAACAACTGTTACAAAATACAGCTCACGAGAGAAAGAGCTGGAATAAATGCTTTTGCCAACATTTTTGGTGACACTTCAAATAATTATCTGAACCAAACATAAATCTTCAACAAACATACAAAGACAAATCATTGGTATATGACTAGTTTCTGGTTGAAGGTAGAAACCACGGAAATATGCCATTTCAAATGTTTACCAGTAGTAGGCAAGAAAGTTACTGGTTGCAGCTGACACTGATGTTCATGAAACTATTCAAGCTCTTCCATGGTAGGCCATTCATTCAATCAAAGCTCTTCTATCGTATGGCATGTAAACAAAGCAACACAGTTAAATTAATGCAGTTCTGTAACAAATCGACAAATCAAAACATTAAAAATCAACATTTAATATTAAATTAGAAACTGAGAAAGTAGTTATTTTCAACATGAAGGCGGTTCAGATTTTTAAAAAATTCAGTCATTCAAAAAGTCCAAAGTCAATTTCCCCAGCAAGTTTTCCCTCTAAGCTGTCATGAAGACAACTTCAGTTTCCGCATGTCATGTTCTCTAATAACCACTATCTCTCTTCAGACGTCACCAGATGGATATCTGCTGTCAGAGACTGTTTGCAAAATGAACATACAAAATATGGTACAAATGATGTGATAGCCGTATTAAAGGGACACAACAGATAAGTTTTCTCCCAAAACATGTTTAACATACTGTTAGTTAACATTGAATCATGCCCCAAAACATGTTTAACATGCTGTTTGCATACATAGAATCATGCCCCTTAAGCACCAGAAGCAATAGGCAGCCTAAACACAGCATTAGTTCAATAAACACCTCAAGATGATACAGCACTGGCTTCATAATTAACATGATACAGGAGACTTGTTGGAGGACAACATTAACTAATAAATATTTCTTTCGAGTCATATTCACATGTAATGTAAGAAGGGTTAGATTACTGTTCCTCTTTACGTAACAAACAATGGCTGAATATAGCATATGAACGGCTTTGAAGATTATGCTGATATTAGTTACAAAATACATAGCTCAAACTTAATAAAATCAGATATCTGCAGACATATCAGACAGCTATCCTCATGCTTGGTTGAGTGGCATTTTAGAAGTTGAGACGTACAATATAGAACAAGTTTTAAGGATAACAACTTCTTTATTTTGTGAGTGCGACATTTCGATACAGATTCTTGTACTCTTGCTTGACAACGGTACAAGAATCTGTATCGAAACGTCGCACTCACGAAATAAAGAAGTTGTTATCCTTAAAACTTGTTCTATATTATCCTCATGCTGTACAGCATGCAATCTATATATTGTGACAAATTGCCGACAATGTTTGAACTAATATACATACAATGTCCACACTACCAGTTACGCTCACCTAACCTGTACTGGCAGTGAACACAGATTAACTGCTGACAGCCCCTTGTGTAAAGATACCGCTATACCCCAATATTGATATTCACATTTGTACTCTCGGTCATCCATGTTAAATCATCATGATCAAGGGCCTACACTTTGTACTCTGCAATCTAATCATGTGAAAACATGTGCAGGTACTAACATGTTCTAATCACCATGTAATACAACATATCAGTAACAATTGACCAATTGTCCTAAAACCATTTCTATTTTAACAGTAATATTCACATAGATGTTTGTGTCGCAATCTCTAGGCCAGTATTGTACAATGGCAGCATGTCGGTACTAAAAGATATGAACCAAGTACATTAAAAATACAAAAAGAGTATATAAAAGTTCTTCCATAAATAGAAGAAACAAGTGATTATGTATAACGGTACAAAAATGTATAAGAATAAATAAATATGATAATGATAGTGAGAGGACCAGGATGATATGGGGTCCTACCCTGGCAAGCTGCTGTCCGACATCTCTACATTAGGTAATCAGTTCAGTCAAGAAACAGAGATTTCAAAGTCTCAATTGTTTTATCTCAAAGTTTCAGTCTTATTCTACAAAATGTACCATGAGCTCCTTCTGGAGTCTGCTACAGGAGGCTATACCTCTTTGGGGTTTTTTCATGAAATGATTTTGTTTTACAACAGGATATCCTTATTACTGCCTTCGATAAAATAGGACAATGATCTTGCTTGTTCACCTTACAGACAATCTCACAGGGTCAGACATTGCGACTTGTACCTTATGAGACCATGGCTCTTTACAAGCAGGGTGATCATTTACTCTTTCTTATACCCACAAAAATTTGAAATGAAGTCACTGTTAGTTTGCCTGGCCACACAGCAGCATCACAGAGGAGGGTCCCAGGTTCTGAATTACACAGGAAGTACATGGTAGGCCCATGTCTTTGGCCAGTTCTGAAGATATGTGTCAGAATGTTTCTGTGATCAGACAAAACAATAACCAGTAAACTGGGGTGGATATGTACTGATGGACAACCATGAAAGGTCTATTCTTTGTTTGGTATCCTGTTTTGCTATGAGGAGAGTGTATGAAATACGCCAAAAACACAGACCGACATCAGGGCTGGCAACTTCAAAAAGTTACCAGCCCAAAATGGATTTAACCAGACGAGACGCTTAGATATGGTGAATTTACTCACATGTATGAAACTTGTACCATTTTTACCAGACCATCGGGCAGGCTAGCTGTAGATTTAGACCGTCAGAAATCTAGCTCGTCTCGGGCGGTGGGACTGGCCTTATTTCTTACACTGTATGAGCAGAATTGTAAGTGACAGCGTTATGAAAAATCCAATTTAAACGAGACAATCCAGAGACTGACATCATGAGTCGATCCAAGCAACTGGAACATGATGACACCTGACCACCTGATCCACTTTGTTGTCTCTTACAACAAGCTTAAGTTGCTGGGGTCGGAAATTATATCATCATTGGTTGAAACGTATAAAACTAACTTCATTAGACCCAGTATCTTGTGTCTTGTCTACATGTTCAAGACCACAAAATGCCACACTGGGCTTTATAGACTTACAGCTGCTCATGTATGGCCTCAACAAACATGGAGTGAACGTGTTATCAATCCCTGCTACCATCAATGCGTCTGGAAAGATCGTACAGCTACCACAGAGGTGCTAAAAACATCCACATGAACACGTTGTTTGAGAGAGAGAGAGTGGGTTGGGTTTTATGCCGCTTTTAGCAATATTCCAGCAATATTACAGCAAGGGACACCAGAAATAGGCTTCACACCTTGTACCCATGTGGGGAATCGAACCCGTGGTTTGAGAGTGGAAGCTACAGTAAGAAGCTACATTCAACATCAGACCAATAACATTAATATGATTGATAAGAAACGAAAAGCAGTGACCACTGTCATACAATTCCCACTGGTGTACACAAAAAGATTAGCATCTCTTGGCACCCATCACAAAACCAGTGTCCAGGGCAGTTATCCAACTGGAAGTATAAATGTAACATTGGATAATGTAAGATGCTGATGGAAATAAGACAAACTACTGAAACATGGATGAATATCGTCCTCAACATTACTGACAGGGGCTGCTCAACATCTGCTGGAACCTAGTTCCAGTTCATCTGCATGAGTCTTGTTGTACTGGGCATGAGCATTAGTCGATGTGAATACATGTTATACATGGAACTGAGGTAACAACACGCTGGACTGACTGGCTGACTGAGTTTGGTTTTACGCCGCTTTTAGCAATATTCCAGCAATATCAAGGCAGGGGGCACCAGAAATGGGCTTCACACATTGTACTCATGTGGGGATTTGAACCCGGGTCTTCGGCATGATGAGCCAACACTTAAACCACTAGACCCCACAACATGCTGGAGGTGACGGGGTTTGGTGCCAGATATCTGTAATGTATGATGGCAGTCTGGAGAACACCACAGACAGCTAACGGTTGATGATGGAGATTCAAGCCACCTACAGCAGCAGTAGGATTACTCATAACCTCACCACTGCTGACACGGATGCAGCACAAAGCCGTGACTGACTGAGTTGAGTTTTAAACAGCAGTTAGCAATATTCCAGCAATATCACGGCAGGGGACACCAGAAATGGACTTCACACATTGTACCCATGTGTGGAATCAAACACTGGGTCTTCGGCGTGACGAGCGAACGTTGTAACCACTAGGCTACAACACCGCCCCTCAGCACAAAGCAAACATTTAGTCTCTGGAATGAATATATATAACAATGTGTTTGTTAACTTGTCATGCAGACAGGAGCCATGAGAATGTGTTCAGTTCCAGACTGGTGCAGCTCAAGTAATGAAGGTGTACTGGGTGTTTTACCATATTTGTGAACAATGGTCACAGAAATGGTTAGATGACAAAACAATGAAGTCTTGCTGACTTGTTATCAAACCATCAAACAAAGGATGGAGACATTATTGAATCTTTCCAACTGTTGCAGTTGTATTCAGAGTAACGTAACACACAGCACTACATTAACAAACCAGCAGGTGCCAATGGCTATAGTACTTTCGCATCCTTCTAAATACTAATTCTCATCAAAATATTTACCTGTATTTTGGCAGAGTGACGTACATACACTTATCATGATAAAACCAATCTTTGGCTAATGATTAATACCATGGAGAGAGAGAGAGAGTATGGTTTTAAGTTACTTTCAGCAATATTGCAGCAAAATCATGTCAGGGCACAAGAGAAATGGGCTTCACACATTGTACCCATGTGGGGAATCAAACCCGGGTCTTTGGCGTGATGAGCGAGTGCTTTAAGGGGCACCCAAGAGCATTGCCTCTTCTCAGCTGCAAAGATCTGTTCATTTGGTTTTGTTCAAAAACAGTTTTATCTAAATGACAAACGGTTTAACAAACTACGCATCTATAAGAGCCAATATCCAATACCTCCCGCATCTCGTCCCATCCCATTGCCTAAGTAGAGAATTTCCTCTAACATCTTGTAAGACTTACCTCCTTTGTTGAACACACCTGGAGACTATATGAGACTTCTATCTGAATAAACTGACATAGCTGAACGGTAGTAAGAGAATATTTGGTTACAGCTTCTTTATCACACATACACAATGTTTCCAGGATACATCTTGCCCCTTCAAAAGCTGACGACAATAAAGAATCTGTTATCTACAATGTCCATGTCAGGATCATATCCAACTTCTAAATGCCTTTGCAATGGTTTCTGCATTGAGGAGTCTACATAACCAGTAATAGGCTGGTCACAAAGCAGTCAGATAGCGGAACACAATTCTGCATCTAACAGTCTCGACTACCACGATGCGTCTACACCAGCAGGAAGCACTGAGTATTGAAAACAAATGCAACATACACTGACTTGGGAAACACACATTTGATTCTCATTTTAAAATATGCTATATGACTATTACATCACAATGCCCAAATAATCACTACACAAGTGTCTGGCTGTGAGGTTTTTCGTCACTTTAACACAATATCACAGCAAGTGACCTAAGAGTGAGTGAGTGAGTGAGTCATGCTCTTCACCTCAAGGGCTAGCAGTTCGGTAAACCTATATTTACCCCTGGATCCATGACTATGGTTGCCAAGATCTTAAACTACTCACCCTTCATTTCCATTGGCTAATTTGATTTGCTACGCTGCTTAGTGTAATGAATCAGTCAGAATGTGAGTTACAAAGCAGCCTCAATGCTGAGTTGGCGATGTCAATAAAATGGTCATCATGATAGTGTTTGCCAGGGGTTAGTGTAAATCCCAGAAGTATAGAGTATGTCAGTGAGTCTAGTGAGTCAGTGAGTGAGTTCAGATATAATGACCAGCAGCTGGGTAATGTCCATGTCAACTAAATGTTGGAGGAAAGCCAAAGTGACCCGAGTTTCTTAAAAGTATGCAAAAGTATGCAGCCTTTACTGGAAACATGATATGGGCAAATATAGAATAAACTCACAGTCTGAGGTTTCTGCCATGTCAAAGGGAATAAATCTGTGACATCTGAGACAACTGCTCCACCTATGCACCCCATGTGATGCAGCCAACCTTGATGTCTTAATTCCCACATACTGCCAACATGATGAAATGACTCTCCACACAAATGAGACAAAGCAAGGTTAAAGCATGCTTCAAAAGATAATAAACATTGAGAGACAGGCATAGATCAGTCACAGAGATCAAAGATGTTGAAAATAATGTTGCATTTTGATCAAGGAACTACGGTAAGTGAAAGAACCACTTGTCACACTTCAACAGGACATGGATGAAGAAGGTATAAGGTGATCGTTCATTACACTCAGAAAAATCTTGTCATGGAGGGATTGTGGTGATATAAACCATATGACGACCATAATGAGATCTGTAACAGGATATACCATTGTTATCATACACTGATGAGATACATTGTAACATTCTGCATCAATATATCATACAGTGATCAGACACACTGTAACACTCTGTATCAATACATTATCAACATGCAGTAAATTTTCACGTAGCACCAGAGGCAGATCCAGGACTTTCAACCAGGGGACTGTACTCTGCCCACACAACATGGACAAACAACATGTGCACCCCTCCCATCTCCCCTAGTCCTGATCCGCCAGTGAGCATAACAGTAAATTTCTCTGATAACAATCAGCCAGGATGTGGAACAATTCAAGGGAGACAATCAAATCTAACCTGCTACATTGGTTCATCAGTCATGAAGGGCAAGGATTGTGCCAGTTTTCATAATCACATAGTGTTAAATCATGGAAACAGACATGGAAAGTTTGTAATCAGACTGACTACAGGATCTGTTCTAAATCATGATGAATATACATGAGGAGGGACTTCTCCAACAAACCGAGCCGTCCAAGGTTAAAATATTCAATCCACTTTTGTAATGCTCAGTGGTGAATGAGCAACGATTATATATCTATACATAATGTTCACATATGTTACATAGTCCTATATATACCACAGCCACTTGTACATAGTCCACATGTTCTCATTATATACTGGCACGTACACAAACAGTATTCCTTAACTACCAATTCCAAGTTTCTGACCAACTGGGCGAGATATGAAGCTGCACAGCTTCCACCTGGAGTCCGGAGACATGTTCCACAAAGCTGTCTAATACAAAGACCATCATAATGTCTGTATACTAACAACGACCGTTGCTCACACTTAACTGAAACATGTGACATGAACCCAAAATACTGGGTTGTTGGAAGTTTTTTGTTTATATTTAATATTATTCTAATGTGCAACACAGATGACTTCACCTGATGGAGGAGTAAGAATATACCCCAAAATGTAATGTTCCTCAAAATAAAGAAGTTGATATCCATAGATTCTCGCCTTGATGGATGACTTGTTCAGATCTGACTTGTAGTCAGACAATGACATGTGGAAGCATCCAATGTTTTTTTTAAATGCTGAAGATGGGTCTCATGACAGCTGTTTCCAGCTGTGATATAAAAACATATGTGTCACAAGAGAAGGAATGGGACGGTCAGGTTACCTGATTTTTTGGCCAAAGACCTCAATGAGTATCAACCATTAAAATATCTGTAGTGCGGACAACACCTGGGTGAAACTAACACTTACAAAAGCTGTAGAACTAAGATGATAGAGGGGTTTCTGGTCTGGAGTTTCTAACTGAAGACTTTCAGGAACTCGACCAGTCGGGTTTAGACTTACTGTTGGACTGAAGCACATGAATTTGCACAAAGCAATTTATTGAATCAATCTTGGTACTAATCTGAATCTGGAGTCCCCATACTCCATCTCGAGACCGCCTCCGTGGTGTAGTGGTTAGAGCATCCGCCCGGAGATCCCCAGCCGCGTCATACCAAAAGACGTTAAAATATGGTACTTGTTGGTCCCTGCCTGGCGCTCGGCATTAATGGGTCTAACAAGGACTGGTCAGCTCGGAGTCAGTATAATGTGTCTGAGTGGGGTATTCATGCTTCACTGCGGCATGGTATCTCAGTGGGCTAGCACTATAAAACCAGCTTCAGTCTGGGCTAGTACAAGCAGCCGCACATGCACATACACATGCATGCACGTCGTCATATGAGCGAAATATTCTCAAGCACGACGTTAAACCCAATTCCACCACCACCACCACCCATACTCCATCTCGAGATAACAGAATTCAGTTTCAGTACAGTGTGTGGTCAATGCAAATCCATTTCAGACATTACATACCAAGATTGCGAAACAGTCGAGAATTGTGAAAACTACTTTAGGGGATGTTACAAAAGAATCAGGAAACAACTGCCAAATATCGAAAACAGAAAGCACCAGAGAAACATGTTAGAGCTGTAGAGGGACCGGTCTTATGTGTCGCCACTGGGAATGGGAATTAAACAACCTCACAAGAAGACACGGCAGATGTTAACTCAGAGATAACTCAAGAGGAAACATATCACTCACTTTCCATCAAACCTATGTCAGCTTAAAAAACTGTTTGGCAGTCATACTGTAAGTTGTAAATTCACACTCATTCAAACACAAATACAAACGTTGTGTCACAAAACAATTGTAAACCTTCAACATGTTCTACACCTCCACTAACTCGATATATTTTGATTCAGATTGAGATTCCCGTGGACTGGACTTCCTAGTCATGACATGTCGTCCATGTCGTCAAGGTCGCTATCATCAGCATCTGCAGGGTCGTCCAGAGTGAAGGATTTTAAACTTGGTGCTCGCCCTGTCGACATCGGCTGACTGTTTCTACGCAATCTGGAAAACAGGGAATATTGTCAGATCCTAGTGAGCATAATGTAAGATTTGATTTCACTTTTATTGCTGTTTATGATGCATTCAGCAACATTCCAACAGTCTGTAAATAATCAAGTATGGACTAGACAAACCGGTGATTGATACTTTGAGGTATGATGACACCGCCACCTACACCTAGTTCAGATTTACAGGGGCCAACTTTTTCCTCAGAATCCCACCAGGTACAAACTAGCATCACTATGGGGGACCTGTTCCAGCTCAAGAGTCAGGGGTGTAAGAGTATTCAGTGTACCTGGACTGTAGGTGTTCCACCTGGACCTGCAGGTTGTCCACCTGTTCCTGCAGCTCATCGTTTGCCCTCTGCAGCTTCCTCACGCTGTTGGCCTGCGAGTCCACCTAGAAACACACCAGGGAGAGAAATGCCATCAGTTTCACATAAGCCACAGGACACTCATGAAGGCAGTTAGGTGCTTATTAAATAGAATTGGTTTGATGTGTTCGTATTACCATTATTTTCAAGTCTATTTGAGCTATGTAATTTTCCATTGGTTTGACATGATTAAAACTGTGAAAAAACACTGATATTTCATTTGAACATTATTTTTAAATGTGTCCGTAAAGCACTTATAGTCAAGGAATTTTACTTTCTGGAGAGTCTTTCATTGTGTGATCAACTGAGAACTAAAAAGAAACATACATTTTCATACAGACATGCTTCAGGGAACAAAACAAAGGTTGGATTACGAAATATATATGATACAAAATTGAAAATTTTACTATAAATTGTATATTTATATACTTATACTATCTCACGGTATGCACCTCTCTTCTTCTTCTACGACCATGTGTGGAACCATAGGCTAAGTTGAATCAAAAGTTATCTGGCCTCTGACCCCGCTCCGATAGCAGTATCTGTCAATCATCTCAATAAGCGTGCAGATCGCTCAGATGATCACGTGACGTTCTGTACCTGTCATTCTCGTCTTGGAGCTTCCAGTAATCTGTGATGTGGGGGAGGTCGGGTGGGTATCCATCGCGTGAGATAGGATAAGGATATAAATATACAATTTATAGTAAAATCAGGGTATGCACGGTTGCTCAACTAGTTTAACGTTCAGTACCAATCCCCCTAACTTACCAAAGGTGAGAAAGGACTTAGGAGCGGAACGCTTCGAGAACCATGCCGGTAATCGGAAATCAACACTTCACTGGCGTAATTGCTCAGAGAGTAGAGGTCAGTAAGCGGAGTGTCGAGCACCTCTGCATGTAGCACAAGACTGGCCTTTCAGTCTATCGAGTCATAACTATGACAGTGCAGACACGCCCTAGTACCCTAGGTGAGGTGGTCTATGCCCAATATAATCCATACCAATAAGAAAGATAGGACCAATATCTTTCATGATATGGAGAATGCAAAACCTACTCGAAGGTAGGAACTGCATCTTATCTGATTTTCGAGCCGATGACAACTGCTACACCAGACTGACTGACTGACTGAGTTTAGTTTTACGCCACTTTTAGCAATATTCCAGCAATATCACGGCGGGGGACACCAGAAATGGGCTTAACACATTGTGCCCATGTGGGGAATCGAACCCGGGTCTTCGGCGTGACGAGCCAACGCTTTAACCATTAGGCTACCCCACCGCCCCTGCTACACCAGAACCAATGGACCCAGATGGTGAAGACCTTCCACGTCAGTGACAGACAGATCGCGGGGGTAGGGTGAGATGAAGACCGAGTCCAAACTCCAAAAACAACCCTCCATGATGCCGTGATGAAAACAGTTCTATGTCGCGCCATCGTAGAGGTCAAGGCTCTTGTCTCATGAGGGTTGGCCGTAGTAGGAAGAGGAAGGTCAACACAGGCGTAGATCGCATCCCAAAGGATGGTAGATCGCATCCCGAAGGTCAGTGTGGTACGAGAGACTTCTGTAGATGAGGCAGATGACAGAGAAATAAACAGTCTCTTGCGTAACATACGACGGTCCATGGGGGCAGTTAAAAGACCTGTAAAGTCCGGACAGGACATAGGGAGAGATTCTCGGTGTCGTCAGGGCCTAAAATAGAAGACAGCGGCAGGAAGGCGAATAGTCTGTCCGGCTGTCCAGGCAACTGGTTTCAGCGAAGAGATCCCATTTCAACCAGGGAGACTTAACGTGACATGCTTGAAAGCCTTCTCTGCCAGAGGTTCATACTCCTCTGACATGAGATGATTAAAAAACCACGGAAAGGTCCCAGACTGGTGGCCAGAACTTCCGGGATTGATCAGCAACTTGTAAGATCTAAGGAGAGACTGGAGCTCAGGGACAGTTGACACCTTCGCACCCGTAGCCGGCGCAATAACTGTGTTACGCATGGCCAGGTATGAAGACAAGGTGGAACCCGTCAATTCCTTGGAAGTTCAAGGATGCTGGAGGTACTCCGCGACCATCTGCGGCGATGCTGTAGTGGGAGATATAATACCCATCGTCTAGCAGTATGCTTCAAAATACTTCCATAGTCATCACAGAGTTGCCTGGTAGAAGTTCAATGCGCCGTGGTAATTGCTGTAGCGACTCGCTTGGAATATCCCTTTGCAGTTAACGATTCAAATAAAGGCACCAGGCGTGAAAATTAAGTGTGAGCGGACACCATGCAGCTGATCGGAGTGAAGATGAACCATAATATAGACGTGACGGGAAGTGGTACTGGAATGGGTTGGCCAAGTCTTGCAGGTTAGGAACAAACTAACGAGCCAAAACGGTCAACTTAAAATCAGTGTCAACCGCTGCGTAGTGCGTAACTTGAGCAGTATGCGTGGAAGTAGCGCCACTGGTGGAAACGCATACGCGTTCATGTCATCCCAGGGGATGGCTAGAACGTCGTGTACCCAGGCCAAAGGATCCGGGATCGGGGACACGAAAATCGGAAGCAGGTGATGGAAGCGGGTAGCAAACAGATCCACTGTCGTGTTAGACATTGGAAGGCACAAAGTCTGGAACACCTCCAGATGCAGTTTCCACCCCATCGGGTATGGTCGAATCGGACTGCACAAAGAATCTGCAATGACGTACTTCAACCCTGGGATGTGATTGGCCTGGACCGTGATGTTGAAAGAGTCCACTAAGTGGAAAAAACTGTTGTGTCCACTAAAGAAGCTGAGGAGACCCCATGGATCCCATTTGATTTATGTGCCACACGATCGCAGCATAGTCTGATCGAAACAAAAGCTTGGTTGATTGTAACTGGTGATGCCAATGAGTTATCGCAAGAATCACTGCCCTGAGCTCCAAACGTTGATGTGACATGCGCGGTCTGCGGGAGACCACAGCCCTGCCACTTGCTGATCGAGAAAGTGAGCTCCCCACCCGTGTAGAAAAGTGACTACGTGTACAGGGGATGTACTGAAGCAAACAGCCTTAAAGAGACTCCATCAACCCATCCAACCACCACTGGAGATGGAGATGAAACGCTGGAGGAAGAGAGATCAATGCGTGAGGGACGCCAATCCTGATGTGCTGACACAGAAAAAAGTGGAAAAAAGACGTCAACAGACCCAGAAGTTCTTGCCACTGACAAAGAGTCCTGAGTTGCGAGAGTACTAGGGGTAACAAGAAAAAACTCCAGCGCAGACCTTCCGTTCGTCGGGCCACCCTGAATGACTGGATGAAGTGGTTCAGGAAGGAGAACAATTCCTTTGGGTTCAGTTATCAACTTCGAGATACGTGCGTAGAATCGCAGTATCTGTTGAACTGAAGACTGACTGACTGACTGAGTTTGGTTTTACGCCGCTTTTAGCAATATTCCAGCAACATCACGGCGGGGGACACCAGAAATGGGCTTCACACATTGTGCCCATGTGGGGATTCGAACCCGGGTCTTTGGCGTGACGAGCCAACGCTTTAACCATTAGGCTACCCAACCGCCCCGACAGCACTGAAGAAGTGCTGAATGTAGGAGGTTCGTGGCATGGAGATGTCAGTCAACCTACAGGAACGTACACATTGTACACAAAGTGATGAAGGCCTTATAAACAGTGATCGTAGGAACGTATAGTTCGCCAAATGAAGTGTTGGTCCGTCAGATGGAGTGAGAAAGTTAGTAGATGCGATGCATGGGATCGTCAATCTACCGGAACATTCGTAACTTTGATGGAATGGCAGAGGTAAAAAGAGACCAGTGACCCCAGGAACATTCGTAAGGGACGAAGGTAGTAACATCGATGCCTACGAACAGTCCGGACATAGCTGCAGTGACCTCTCAACTGAGGCCTTAAGCTAAGAACCTGGTAAACCCAACCAAAGTGACAGCGTCATGGCTATTCTGTCTGGCACCCTCGGTAAACTGTTTCTCCCGGCTGACTGACAAAACTCGACATAATCACTCTTACCAGGAATGGCACTGTCCATCATCACTGGCAATTAAAGGCTGGGATAGTTATCCGCTTCGTTGGACCAAGACAAGTATGTCAGGGCACTCCATAGTCACTCTAATTATCAAAAAATCAAACAAACAGTAGTCCGCCATTGCAATCGCTTCCCACATGCAATAGTGACAAAAAAACGGACACCACGGTCTTCGGTTAACCAGGCGAGTCCCAACCCATAACATCCGTGTTAAGGGACGCTCGCTACTTGACCAAACATTGATACCACACGCAGAAACTGTGGATACTAGGCCAACTTGATATTCAGGCATATTATAACGACACTTCACTGAGTCTGGTTACTACAACTGACTGACTGAGTTTTGGTTTTACGCCGCTTTTAGCAATATTCAAGCAACATCACGGCGGGGGACACAAGAAATGGGCTTCACACATTGTACCCATGTGGGGATTCGAACCCGGGTCCTCGGCGTGACGAGCCAACGGTTTAACCACTAGGCTACCCACCGCCCCTGGTTACTACAAACAACTCGAAGCAGCGTTATGATGTATCGTCATCTTCATCATCATTCCTTTAACATCAACCAGTTTCTGGACAGAAATGTCAAACCGGGTGGTTGAAGAGCTGACATCTACGACGAAGGGAAAAGTCGTTGAATCGAATCATTCATCGAAGGTGAAGATCGAAAGGTAGATGATGATCGTCAATCGCCGTCGTTAAGTAGAGGCCTGTGCTAATAACTACTACCTGTATACAACCAGCAGAAACGATGCACTGGATGGAAGTGTTGATACTTAGAGAGCAGCACACTGGAGTAAAACGGCACACTGGATATGATCAGCGCACTAGTAGATAACAAGGAAGTGAATGAGAGCGGCACATTGGAGCAAAGCGTCGCACTGGACTGAAAACAGTGCATTGACCTAGTGTGTAGAGCCAATCAAAAACCCAAGGTACTCTCTGAACCCCCGAACAGAATGAAAGCACCGCATTGGAGTGAACGCGCTGTCCGTACATAGACACCGCAGAATCAGGAAGCTAACCCCAAAGTCAAGCTGAGCACCGGTAAAAACTGTAGTAATGAGGTATTAACGCCGAAGTTGGAAGAAGTGTTGAAGGTAAACTTGCAGCAGAAAAAAACACTGTAGGTAGCGTAGTGTGCGAACTAGCAAACAAAGTCGTGATGACAGTAGACGCATAGAGGTAACCAGATGATTCGGCGAATGCTGACAGTTCAGCGAACACATTCGGATCGGTGAATACTGTAGGAGTGGCGAACTGGTATGGTTCGACAAACAGGATCGGTTCTGCGATCTTGGTTGGTCCGACGATCTGAATCGGATAGATGATCCGGTTCGGCAGTGTGATCTAAAGCGCTGAGTCAATCCATCGAGACCGATGCACTCGTTTAAAACGTTGTACCATACAATAATGGTGTACTGGACTGAAAAGGTGTTCCGATCAAACAACAATTCACTAGGTTGAATCGTTGTTCCAATAGAAAACGGCACTGGTCTGAAGCGTTGATCTACTCGAAAAGGCACACTGGGCTAAAGTGTTGATCCAATCGAATGAGGCGCATCGGTCTAATGAGTTGGACCGAACGAGAGCAGTGAACTGAAGTGAAACGATGCACTGATCTCGTCTAGAGAGAGCGACGCATCGGTACAAACAAAGTGATGAATGGACAACAAGTGCCGCTCCTCTAGTAAGCGGCGCACTGGAACTAGGCGATGGATCATAGACAGGTGGTGCAAGGTACGGGGAAGGTGTTCAAAGCCAGTGTATGAAAGAAGGCCCGTCTGACGGATTTCTGACGGACGGTCTACATTTACAGCTAGCCAGCCCGACGGTCTGGTAAAAACTTCAGATGTTCCATACATCTGAGTAAATTCACCATATTTGGCCTGGTTAAATCCATTTTGTGTATGACATAAGCCAAAGTCCAGCCAGACATCAGGGCTGGTAACTTCAAAATGTTACCAGCCCTGATGTCTGGCTGGACTTCGGCTTATTTCATACACTGTGAAAACGCCGTACTGGCTACTATCGTCATGCCTGACGAACTGATCCCTGTGGTTGAAAGCGCCGAAATGACTGCACTCGCCGCATGAGAGTGAACACTTCACCAAGCGCACCCACACAGAGGGGTGTGGAGCACTCAACCAAAGCGGCACAATGTAAACAACCACCTGAGTTTAACTAGGAGTTTGTGAAATCGTCACCAAGTTAGAAGGCCGAGACTGTGCTGCAGAAGTTGTTAGCACTACCACTCTCGGAGGAGATAAAACTTGTCTGGAGATGGGACTAGACGTTTGATGACGAAAGAGACGACGGAGATACTCGCTCAAGTAGGAGTCTGACTCTGAGGCCACCTCTAAAAAAAATCTACGTCCGGGGACAGTGATTTAGATCAACAAACTGCTCTCTTCGAACGGCGTTCCGATATAGCACGCTTAAAAGTTGAAGGACCCTCAGCAGTTGTACGCCAATCTCTGTCCGATCTACGTCTAGATTCAACCCGTCGATATATTCAGAAAGATCATCATCATTCAATATGTGAACAAACAGAACACCGATGTGACCAACTACAACAGCCTATATCTACAATCCACACACAAAGCGTGTGGATCAGCAGCGGAAAAGTTGCTGTTGCACTGATCACAGTGTTTGCATTTCTTAGAAGAACTTTGATTCCATTTATTTCCCATATTGACAATCAAATAATGTCTAACTGAGAGAACAACACACGTCTACTCGGTGTAGCGACAAGAAAGAGAACGACAGGCACAGACCGTCACATGATCATCTGAGCGCACGCTTATTGAGATGATTGACAGGTACTGCTATCAGAGTGGGGGCAGAGGTCGGGGGTCAGAGGCCAGATAACTTTTGATTCAACTTAGCCTACAGCACGTTTCCACACATGGCCGTAGAAGAAGAAGAGAGGTGCATACCGTGAGATAGGATAAGTTTAAAAATCATGAAAATGTGACACTTGTGGCAATAATGTATGCTACATGAGCAAGGGAATGTGGTCTGGAAAATATTAATCTGAACCGTGATAAGGTACAAAACTTACTTCATCCTCCAACAATGAACTCCGATAATGCATGAAGCTCACCTAGTCCTCCTACAATGAACTCCGATTATGCATGAAGTTCACCTAGTCCTCCAACAATGAACTCCGATAATGCATGAAGTTCACCTCATCCTCCTACAATGAACTCCGATAATGCATGAAGTTCCCCTCATCCTCCAACAATGAACCCTGCACATGGCTCACCTCATCCTCGGCTCCTGCCAGTTCCTTCTTGAGCTCCTCAACCCGACAGCGGAGTTTCTTCACCTCCAGCTCGTACTGCTCCGCCCTCCTCTTGGTGTGGTCCAGCTCTGTCACCCGGTCCTGCAGGGTCTTCTTCAGCTTGGCGTGGATGTGGCGGAGGTCGTTCAGCTCCTGGTTGGAAGACAGTGGGAATAGAAATGTAGCATCTGTCTAATGTGCCGCAGGTACTGGTAACCATAAGCATGTTTATACAGTCCAGATTACTTTGGAGAAGATTCAAGATCACAAACATTTTTCCCCAAGTAATAAGACATTTGTTTTGAGTGGCATTTCTCTGGATTCCATCTCTAATCCCTGGCTGCCAATTATGTTTATTATGTTGTTACTGCATTTTCTTTGTTACATTCTGTATACATACATCCCCTCTTCTTCTTGTTATAGTCCTGCTTGACATATGACTGAGCAATGGCCATAAGTAGTTTTACCTTTCAGCATGTGGCAGACAGGGGATCAAAGATGAAAACTGAGACTTTAACCAAATGGACAAAAAAGGATGTGAAGGGTGAGAAGCATAACAACCTTCACTGGACTAGGGCTTTCTGAGGAGAAGCTGATTGAGAATGCACAATGTATGACAGACTAACAGGCCATATGACATAAGTTCTCGACTTTCAGGCAGGTCAGCTAAAAATACTAACTAACATGTACAATACAACATTATAAGTTGTTCACTGGTCTCGAGGGGGACATGGGCTGATGTACCCTATATGTTTGCCCGAAGGGCGAGGGGAACATAAAGAAACATCGAGGGTACATCAACCCATGGGCCCCAAGGGACCAGTGAACAACTTATTTATCTTACTGAACACCTCAACGGTAATTTTGAACTGTTGGAAGCACGGGGTACATAGAAAATGTTACTCACTTGTAAGCGGGGTACATTGAAAATAATAGAAGAGCGCTCAGCCAATCAGAAAACGACACTTATGTGTGAGGCAAGATAATACTTGATATCCTTATTTGGCCAGTACAAATCATGCCGTGTCCTTACACATGCTTTTGCAGCAAACCAAAAAGTAACATTTCGTCTCTTAATAAGTTAACTACAACAGCAGCAAGTCTGTACCTTATTCTTCTCAGACAGCTCAAACTGCAGAGTCTTCATGTCGGAGTCCACCATGGCGGAGGTCTGCTGGTGCTTCCTCTCCAGCTGCTCCTCCAGGTCCTCCATCTGATGCCTCAGCTTCTTGTTGTCTCGCTCCAGCGCCAGCTTCTCCGTCTCCAGCCGCTCACGCTTGCCCCACTCCGCCGCGTTCTCAGCCTGGAGGCGCTCCAACTGACAACCATGGGCTCTCATGTTATATGCCACACATTAATTTTAGTCAAATCTGCCATCAAATAATATTCTAATTCTCCAAGAATTGTTTTTGCTTTGGAAATAATGCCGGACGAGATTTGCACACCTTCCTAGACAAACCATTTGAAGCACCATAAAATCCCCCTTCTTGCCCCTGCCACCTGGTCAGACTTGTAACACGGACTAAATTCCTGGAGGTAAGAGTGGAACTACCAAAACATGGGTGACATCTGGTACCTATTTTCCTTTTTAAAGCATGTAGTGTGTTACAAACAGATACAAACACTAAACCATATCAGATGCACGTGTTGTCATTAAACCAGTCTGTCGTCTGCTCACCTCTCTGCGTAGTTCCCCGAGTCTGCGGTCAAGGGACGACCGGTTACAGTTCTCATCCTCCAACTCCAAGGTCATCCGGCCGATCTCGTCCTTGTGGTCTTCTCGAACCTTATTCAACTGAAACATCACAGATCAGTATCTTGGGTACTAATCCTCAGTGCTAATCCTACCATTTGAGGCTCGTATCTGGGATTGTTTTCTCAGTGATCATGGTGATAGTTCTGACATTTGAACACAATATGACAAGCAGCTCCACTGAGAACATTTGATCGGCTTCCTAACCATCCATTATGTGGACAGCAGTAGCAATGACTGAAGTCTCCTTGAGAACAATGCGAACAATGTGAAAATGCATTAACCTGAATCAATAAAACAGGAAGAATATAAATAAAATGTGCATCACAGTGTTTTGACACGTCCAGACTGGGATAAGTGAACACATGTCCTGTTACTGCTTGAAACAAAACAGTGCCACCTCCTTTGTCATGAAGGTGTAAACACTGAATATGTGGCATCATGACATCACAGATATCTTATACAACATTATTGCATTCTTGTTATCTTAATTTTCTGCAAAAGCATATGTGTGATTGTCTCCCTTCTTGCCTACAGGAACAGCAGACCATCTGATACACCATTATACACAACATCAAGTCAGTAGTCCCACCTCCAACATAGTAGTCAGTCCAGTTCCAGCTATATGATAACACCTCGTAATTCCCGGGAATACTGTTTACACTGGGGGAGTACAATGACACAGAAACACACACACCACTGAGTCTGACCATCCAATCCACATAAGTTGCAATACAGTGCTTGTAACCATGGTAACTCAGGTTCCCATCAAGAGGCTGATAAAGCTTCAAAAGTATTTTAAAACTTTCAATAATACAAACAGGTAATCCTGACACTAGTAACAGCAAGTAGTCATCAATATCATTCAAATTTCCATAACATGGTTTGTGTATTTGGTGTTGGTCGTTTCTTATGACAAACATGGGTTGCTAATCCAGATCTTCACAATGCACTACATCATGCAAAATAAATAAAAATGTATAACAATCCTAATGATAATCATCTGGTTGTTACTTAGCAACTACTGAATTTATCCTAAGAAACAAATTCTAGTACTTGGTATATTTTTGTAAGTTTACGCAATATACCATACCTGTATCACGTAAAAAAAATAATACTTCTATTATGTATACACCATACCTATATTATGTAAATACAAAACCTGTATAAAGTGAAATACAATACCTCTAATATGTAAACACCATACCTGTGCTGTGTAAGTTACCATAGCTGTATCATGTAAATTACCATCCATGTATTATGTGAATTACCATACCTGTGACATGTGAATTACCATACCTGTGATATGTGAATTACCATACCTGTATCATGTAAAACACCATACCTGTATCATGTAAATTACCATACCTGTGTTGTGTAAGTTACCAAACCTGTATTATGTAAATTATCATGCCTTTATTATGTGAATTACTATACCTGTTTCATGTAAATTACTCTACCTGTACTATGTAAATTATACTACCTGTATTATGTGAATTACCATAACTCTTTTTATGTAAACACCATACCAGTATTATCTAAATTACCATGCATGTATCATGTTGGTTGGCACTGAGCAATATTTCAGCTATAAGGCAGCTATAAGACCAGACAATCCAGTGATCAACAGCATGAGCGATATTATGTAAACACAATACCTGTATTATGTAAATACCATACTTGTAATTTTAAAAATAAAACTGGCTATCTTGATTAAACAAGGAAAAAATATGTGTACCTCACATTAAAAATCTGATAACAAAAACATGAAATCTATATGAATAGATAAGTCTACTTCTATTACAGGTGCAGTTAGATTAGTATTAGTCAGACTAAACGTGACAGAGCTACATCCCACAATACATCATGTCTACATGTACAGCTATGTCGGAGCTGGAGACTAGGTGCACTTGGCCTTAGTGGGGTTCCGATGATAGAAAATAATCGAAAATTGATCAAAAGATAGATTAAAAATAATTACCGATTACCTTTGATTAATCAGAAATTTGTTGTTTTAGTATAACACACTTGAATGAAGGAAACTAACCATTAAGTTTGATGAATATTCATGAACAAACATATGCTCAACAGCATAAAGCTATGCACATTGTAACATTTTAACCACTTTTATTGTTTAATTACAATTCCAGTGTTTTTCTTGCATAAGTGCATTTCATTGCATGACAGTATTAGTTATAAAAAACATGAATTAGAAAAATCCTGGGGTAAAACCTTTAAAATTGGTGACTACATTAAAAATGTACATATTTCGATCATAATCGATAATTGTTCACCACAAGTCCTCCGATAATCAATAATGCATTTGGTTTCGGATTCCCAACACTACTTGGCCCTTTCACTCATACACATGTTTGTGCACCACAGAAATCGAAACATCCTAATTAACTATGTCAAATGGTGCAAAAGAAGAAGAGGAAAGAAAGGACAAAAATATATTTCTGATAGTTTCCATGCAATATATAGTGGAGACACATGACAACATCCTCTCACCATTAGATACGGCTCGTCCACTGTCTGAAAAGTGTTCATAGGAATGTACAGTATTTAGAATAGACATAGACTTACTGTTCAACATAAGTTGACAATCTTGTTGGGCAACAGCCATGGCCAACCATGCTATACAACATTGCCACCTTTCTGCCACCTGTAATCGGCCCACTGAGTGAGTGAGTATGGATTTAAACTGGGAATCAAACCGAAGTCTTCAGTGTGACAAGCAGACACTTTAACCATTAGGCTACAATACCACCTACCAGCCCACAGTAGTGCAGTGAGCTGGGGAATACCAGATGGGCTAGCCTCTGACAAACGGGCAAGTGGGGAGTTGGTTGGAGACATCCAACCGCACCACTCCAGAGACAGCCAAATCCAATGCAACATGTTCTCCCAAAGGGTGTTCCCCATCTCCAATTTTACACAGGCTGTTTACTGTCTGCTTACATCTTCTATGGGCTGACTTGATACTAAACATCTGGTAAACTACAGAACTTGCTGCAAGTCAAGTTCGACAACTATCAACCATCTCACCTGTTCCATGGTCTGTTGTTTGGTCTTCTTCAACTCCTCGTACTTGTTCCGCATGGAGTTGACCTCCATCTGCAGTTTGTCCATGGACTTCACCAAGCCTGTCTTTTCACTGGAACACAGTTCTCTCAGATCACATGTTATCAATCAACAAGAGGCACATTTCCCAGTGAAATCTTCCACTCAGCATCATGCAGTGACAATACAGACAGTATCATACTCTACCTAGCATTTGCTAATACAAGAGCACAAAGATTCAAGCTCTGATACTGTCGAAATGCTACAGATTCTCAGCTACGTACACCTACAGAATACCGGATACCTACCAGCCATATTGTTTAGTGTCACGTCACCCTAGCCCTAAACCCTTAACCCTAAACCTTACCCCTAACCAAAACATGCGTGCTTTCAAAGATGATGGAAGGTATCCGGTATTCTGTAGTCTTACCCTCAACTATCATATATATGAGGAATCAGAATCATAACAGGACTCCCCTTATAGTCCTTGGGATATCTCACATATAACACATTAATGGCTTGTACCATGATGAAGGTATCTCACCCAGAAACATTTACTACTGTCAACAGTGATAACAGGACTCCCCTTATAGTCCGTGGGATATCTCAAGTATAACACATTAATGGCTTGTACCATGCAGGGCTCGATTTAAGGGTTGTTAACCTACTTGCACCAGGTGCAACCTAAGATAAAAACCTAGTTGCACAAGCCAAATTCCAGTTGCAATGTAGTGTGCTAAAACGTCAGAGGTTTTGGTGCACATAAACATATTTCCGTGACGTAGTACCCATGAAATCATAGCAACACAGATACCCAGCTGATCCCTGTTTACAAGAGCTGTCACAGCCAAGAAGTGTCTGTTTCAGTGCCATAGCTATTCAAAGTTTAGAATAAAAATGAACTGACATACTTATTGTTATTGATATTGATATTGATTTGTTATTGATTTATTTCTCAAAAAATGACTTGCACATGGTGCAATTTTGACTAATAACTAGGTTGCACTTTGTGATATTGAGTTGCACCAGTGCAAGTAACAAAGCACTAAGTCGAGCCCTGCCATGGCACAGCAGAACATGTCTAGATATAAAAAACATAACAATAAGAAACTTAACATACTTTTTCCAATTTAATTTCAAGTGTACTTTTTGTGAATATCAATTCAACTCCCGATTCCATTGATAATCGCTGATGCAAGCGAGATTGATCAGTTGACCAATTATTTGATCAATCGCTCCTGCACTATCTATTACATTAGACAATGTGAATTATCTCAGGCCAAGTCACATGTCTGATTATTGACAGCAGAACTCACTGTCTGTCTGCTAAAGTACTAGCCCCCAGGATACATATACAATTAGACAAACCAAGTACCGCTAACATTCATCCCTGATTATTCACAATGGCATAGGGTTGGGTATCTACATAGATCATAGAATGATAGAGATTAATAATCATTAACTAACTATTGATTGATTACCAATAAATATTGGAAAGGTAACTCAGAGTTCATGAATAGCGTCAGACCCTCGGACAAATCCGGCTGATTCGATGATGGTGCAATGGAAGTCTACAACCCGCCGGCCCCAGTGTCTGACTGTATATTTCACAATGACTGACTGAAGTAGTTACATGTGACACGTCACACTTGTTTGCTGTCTATAAATTTATGTTTGTTAATAATTTCAATGCCAATTAAATATAAGAAATGTTTAATCTGAAATGTGTATTTGATTTTTATTCTATGGGTCCTGTGAATTTTCAGTGGGTCAGACAGACATCTGAAACTTACAGGACCCAATGTCCTGTTACTTTGAACCACCATTCGTGAACACTGGTAACTTTGAGCAAAAATGCCCCTAAAAGTCTGAAAGAAATTAATATACTTCACATCACTGGTGCATGGTGACATGTTTATGTGTGGATTACTAACACATGAAAATTGTGTTATCAATAATCATTGATAAATTTTCATATCAATATTTCCAATTATTGATCATTTTAGCCAGCCCAACAATGACAACTTACTGCCTCTCTGCTATGATGGTCTTCTGGGCTTCATCCAGCTTCATCTGTAGAAGCGCCTGTCTCTCTTCCATCAGCGTGTCATCAGATGGGCTCAACAGTTCCTCCTCCATTTTACGGCGATTCTCACGAATCTTCTCCATCTTGTCAGTGTAATCAGTGTCAGCATTTTTCTTCCCATGTGAAAAGTCTGTCTCATCCATCTCCTTCTCACTGTCATTCTTGTCCTGGTTACCTCCTTCTGTTGCCACGGTAACATCACCATCTTTACCAGACGTGTTCTCATTACTACTCGCCTCACTCAATTTGTCCTTATCCTCGTCCGATGTAATGTTCAACCTTTTTTCATATTTTCATTTTCAGCTTTTAAATCTTGTCTTTGGCGTTTTAATAAATTGCACTCTTTCACAACAGCTTCCAACTTGGAGCGAAGTTGCCGATTCTCATCGCGTGCCTTATTTCGTTCATTACGAGCCTTGTTCCATTTTTCTCGCCAATTTGCTGTACAGTCTGACCACCACCGCATGGTCTTTTCCATCTGTGTTGCCCGTATCCGAGCTTCATCCAGTTCCTTCGACAACATCTCTTCTCGTTGGTTCAGTTCAAAGTCCATACCAGAAAACTGTGAAAGAGGAGTGATATTTTTTTCCCTGGCTGGAATAGGAGGTGGAGATTTTGCCGGCAGAGACCCTGTGGGTGTGGCTCTAATGTACGATACGTCACCTTTACCAAGACTCTGATTCATTTTCTGGCTCATAATTCACAGTGGCCGGTCAACGAGAAGACATATTCACATGTCTACATCACATATACATGAACGCCTCCAAATCGAACTTATTATTTTTTACTTGAAAATTAATTTCACTGAGAGGATATTTGTTTTAACTTCAGAACGAATGATAACAGACAGGTCATGTGGACGTTGAGATCTCCATGAGGAAAAGATATGTGTTGATGAGTATTTGTCAGATATGTATCAGGAAGCCAGCTCCATCAGGTTGTGGAGGAAGATGTAAGATCATGCTGGGGACAGCTGCCCCTGTAGCTGCTCACAGCACAGGCCTGCAACAAACCAGTACAATAAGTGAACATCAGCAATATCCCAAAGTCCTCACTCACTTACTCACTCTCAGACAAGACTATGCCACACTATTTAGTTTTACACCACTTTTAGCAATATTCCAGCAAATCACTGCTGGGGTACCAGAAATGTGTTTCACACATTGTAACCATGTGGGGAATCAAACCCTTGCCTTCGGCATGATGAGTGAACACTTAAACCACTAAGCTACCCTGAAACTAGAGTCTAAATCAGGTCAACCAGTGAAAGCTAAGCCCTCATCCATGCCATCAGCCACACCCCCAAGATGGACTACCCGGGAGCGGAGTGTCAAAAGGTTAGTGCTCACTGATCCACTGATCAAGATAATAGTGTTGTGCCATTATAGAGTTACTATTATTTTTACAGATTAGGATAATTAAATGACACAAATACGGTTCAGGTGATCCTGGCAAGTTCAGGTGATTCAGACTCATCATCAGCTCAGGTCCCTTTCCCCTCTACAGGCAGCCCAGAATGGGACTTCTCCCAGGAAGCACTGCTTAGTCAAATCACTAAAAACCTTTGAAGAAGAGTAGCTAACACTGCAGCCTTCTGCCTTTAAAATACCAAGCGTGTGAGAAGGTCTGTGTTTCTGGCAACAAGCCGTGGTTCTCTCCCAATGTCAGTTAACGAATTAGGAGTTACCAAAACTAAGGCACCAAGAAATATTATTTTCATGCACAGTGACCAATCCAGTTTGGGGATCAGGACATACTTGCAGAAAGAGGATGTTTTTAATGAAGGCACATTCCTTGACACATCAGAGATCAGAATGGCCAGAACTATTATTTCCAAGACAGCCAGCTGGGCTGTACCTTCATCTCTCTATAAGTTACCACCATGACTGACTGACTGACTATGTTTTTATGCCATTTTTAGCAATATTTCAGCAATATCACAGCGATGGACACCAGAAATGGACTTCACAAATTGTACCGATGTGGGGCATCGAACCCAGGCCTTCTGCGTGACGAGCGAACGCTTTAACCACTAGGCTACCCAACCGCCCCAGTTACCACCATGATAGTAACATATTATATTGGGGATTACACTTTCTTAATCTTAGTAAAGTACAGGATTCGAATCCACACCCCCAGAGTCAGGCACCTAATCGCCAGCACGCAAAGTCAGCCGCCTTACCCACTCAGCCACTGCCGCTTCCACAAAGTCGGACAACTGGTAGTCTAGATCACGTACTTTGTGTACCCTTCTGACAACTGGTAGTCTAGACTGCAGACTGTGTACCCCTCTGACAACTGGTAGTCTAGACTGCAGACTTTGTGAACCCCTCTGATAAGTTTTCACACCCTGATAAAGATAGAAGATAGAGATAGGTTTGTTTAATCCAACATTTGATATTTCAAACATGGCCAACTCACTGAAAGTGATAATTCAGAATCACAGAAAAGACGCAATAACTATAATATACATAAGTAAGACTGGCTGATGAAGAATTTTTGTTAGAGCTGATAATTACATAACATTTAATGTCCTTATGATTTGTTATCATTCATGTTTGAGTTACAGCATCTCCCCTGGTGGACTGAGTGTTAAGTTGTAACTCTTCCCAGAGCACTCCCCCCTTAAGACTGGTAAGATTAACATCAGTTGCAATGTAAAACTCCAGAGAAATCACCTCATGTAGTGCTTAATACCTCGGGGTTATCTGGGCCAGTCCAGAGGCCGATATTCATGCCCACATGTGTAGCAAATCCATGTTCATTCCAGAAATATTCCAAAATTGGAACAACAAATTTCTCACTTTATGTTCTATAGGACGATCTACCGGTACCACTTTGCAGAGTTACTTGTTTATAAAAACACAATATTACTGAGCGGTTGAGAAAAAAGTGTTTTTCCCCGTTTGCCTGTCAAAGGTAGTTAGTTGTGAATCGTGATGAATCCCCACTGCTGTGTGTGTGAGGGTGTGGAGACAGTAGCCTCTCACACACACAACCAGCCTGTGTCTCAATGTGAAGGGAACATACAATAGGTGATGCTATCAGTGTTTACACATGACTGATGATTGTGATTACATTCAGTAGTCACCTTGATAATATCTGCTGGGGTAATGACTCACAAGCCTTGGGATATGATCAGCGTTTATCTCTGCACGCATTCTACCATGGAATTTCATTATTGAATCTCAGTTATTCTTATGAAAAGTCTGTCAGTTAAATAACTGTATTATTCTTTGCAAAACTACACATGCAATTGACAATATATTGATCTGGTACTTCATGGTTTGGCAAGCCTGCTAATAGTTGGGTTTGGACCAAACGATCCAGTGATTGATATCATGAGCAGCCCATGCCAGGATGGTAGCCTGTTATTCCATCTGTAATCAAGTCTGACCACATCACCCATCCATTACCTCGTTCCACCACCAGAGGAGGCCAATTCTAACCGAGAATCCCCACATGTTCCCAACTGAGTCATCTCTTTCCGCTGCAGACACATTCTACCCTGGGTCCCAACAGGGTGGCAATAAATAATTAAGACAAATAAGAACAACACATTTATTACCTACGAAGGCAAAAATATCAGGGTTCATACTTTTCATACGGTGCCCTATGGCAAAATATCACTTTGTCATGGCGACATGACGTTATGAACAATGCTATGACTTCACGTTTCTTCTGTGGCGTTGCGTTCTACATGCAGCGGCGGCAGGTAGCCAGCCTATGTTTGTTAAAGTAGATTTGGGTTTATTCTCCTCAATTTGATCACTTCGGTAATAAACAGAATATTATATTTGAGCCCATGTTATACCATGTTTACGACACTCATGCCTGGTAAATCCCTCGCTCACGCAATACCAACATTTAGGCATTCGTGTCGGAAACATAGTATGACATGGGCACTCATATAATATATAATATCCACTATGTATTACATGCATTTGGTAAGACTATTTTAGATTGTTTTACAAACACATCATTGCCAAATATCGTAACAGACTACATGACAAACAAATGGTGTGGTGAGAACAAAATGTTGTACTACTCTCAAGAGCATGATCAACCGTTTCGGTGGCATCCTATTACAAACTATGAATACATTTCTGAAGGATTATAATCAAAGATTAAACCATTTGTCATTCACTCATTGTTTCATTCTAAAAAGTTGAATATGATTTAAAAGCTGTGGTATAAGCGCTGCCGATCTCATGCAACCGATGATTGTGGTCAATGCGGAGGGTTCCCATTTCCGAGCTCTGTCTATCAGTTTATCGTATTTTATATACCAAATAAATGTGTGACCTTCAGGCCAAACATTAATCCACCAGATGGCAATCTGTTAAGTTATGTATGTCAATTATGTCTTCAAGAGTTGAAATATGAAAAAATAAGCAAATATTTGTAAATGATCCTGCATTGTATACACTTCATGCCATAGGCCCCATGGACTTTCACACAATAGACATTACAAGAAATGTATTTTGCCTAACCAAAGTTTCCACTGAACCCCCAGTGTCTTCAACATATCCAGAAGGCTGTACTATGAGGTTACTATTAAAATATTCCCACCACTTACAATAACTCATTCAAAAACATGCCCAAGCAAAACAGACTTGGAAATTACCACACAAACCAAGTGGAAATAAGCACAAACAAAACAATAGCGAACAAATTGTCTAATACATGTATATGTACAAACATTTGAATATCATTTTAATTCATAATTTTAACAATATTTGAATATTCCTGACAAAGCTTTCTAATTCTCTAAACAGAGAAAGAAACTACAATATCTCACCTGTCTGTAGACAATATAGGTCTGCGAGGTAATACCGAGACAAACACAAGGAGCACTGCACGTCTCACACACAGCTTATCCTGACAGACCCCCATCCCACCTCAACAAACAAACACCTCTATCATATTTACCTTACACTCTCTCTCTCCCTGCTTTGTTCAGACCTTCGCTACTACCAAGTCCCAGTAATACATCACTATTTCATAAAAAGTATAGTTAGGTTAACATGGCTAATTATAGTCTGCCTGTTTAATAGTCTAGGTTTAACATAAAGGGGGAATTTTCTTTGTATTGTGAAATATGTTTGAATAAAATGCTGGTGCTCCGTGACATTAAAGAGCTAGGTCTAAGGGGGTCCAGTCATGCAACGTCAACGGTCCTTTGTCTGAGGGATCAATTACGTGCCTTCCAGGTCTAATGCATAACTCATTTGGTAAAAGGGTAACAGCTAAGCAAGTATCGTTGAAACGAGGGCTGGGATGAGTCCACATTTACTCCCCAGGTACCTGATCCCTATTACCTGACCCTGCTGGTTATCCGGCCCCTTATTACCTGACCCTATAAGGTAACAGGCCTCTATTACCTGACCCTATAAGGTAACTGGCCTCTATTACCTGACCCTATAAGGTAACTGGCCTCTATTAGTATTACCTGACCCTTTCAGATACCTGTCCCCTTATTACCTGACCCTACCACATATCTAGCCCCGTATTAAACGACCCTACCAGATACCTGGCCCCTTATTACCTGACCCTACCAGATACCTGGCCCTTTATTACCTGACCTACCAGATACCTGGCCCCTTATTTCCTGACCCTACCAGATACCTGGCCCCTTATTACCTGACCCTACCAAGTAACTGGCCCCTTATTACCTGACCCTACCAAGTAACTGGCCCCTTATTACCTGACACTGGCCCCGTATTACCTGACCCTATTACCTGATCCTACCAGGTAAATGACCCTTTATTACCTGACCCTACCAGGTAACTGGCCCCTTATTACCTGACCCTACCAAGTAACTGGCCCTTTATTACCTGACCCTACCAAGTAACTGGCCCTTTATTACATGACACTGGCCCCTTATTACCTGACATTATTACCTGACCCTATAAGGTAACTGGCCCCTTATTACCTGACCCTATAAGGTAACCGGCCCCTTATTACCTGACCCATCCAGGTAACTGGCCCCTTATTACCTGACCCTACCAAGTAACTGGCCCTTTATTACCTGACACTGGCCCCTGACCCTAACAAAATGGTATATAACAGCACTGGTGATGTTATAAAGTATATAACAGAACTGGGATGTGCCTAAGATATTATGAACCGCTGCAGATATGGGACCAATCATTTTTCGCAAAATAGTCTATTATCTACTCCATGACCTACTCTTGTAAGTTTTACAGTTATCAGTGGTGGGCTATTCAACACTTTGTTCTCCAATAATAGTATAACATGGCCATTAAGTCAAGGGATGCGGGGATCATTGAGCTCCTCTATAGGTTTTGATTAATTACATTAGCATGACCGTCTTTTAATGACAAAACAATCTTCGTTGCTTTGTATCATATAACCAGGATCACCAATTCTCCTCAAAATCAGTAAACCAACACAAGCTAAACAACTGATTCATAACTGGTGACACTGATTGAGGCAAGGTAAACACTAAGGCTGTAACAATTCACTCGCATATTCGGACCATAGCCCTTCATGAATTCAATTCGTTATTTGTGGTCACCTGAACCGAATATTAACGAATATTTACGATTTTTTTAAGGGAGCATGTTTTACTATTTTACTTGAACCCTTGTGTCCTTTTCCAAAGTGAGATATGCAAGAATGGAACATGTACTAGCATTGCAGTAGCGCAAGTCATGTTAGTTTGCCAAGACTGCACATGGTACTGTCATCTATAACTATTACATACCAAATCTGAGTGTCATGAGATCACTGGTTATTGCTGTGACAAATCAAAACTGTCAACATGGGCGTTCTATATTGTACGTCAATCATTTAACTACAATATTGTATTCATGAATAATTATTTGTATTCGTTACCCAATATTCATGATACATATCATATTCGCCACATAGTGTATTTGTTGCAGCCCTAGAAAACACTGTTATGAGGTAGTTTCATACCTTGTGCAACAGTGTTTCAGCTGTTACACTTGTACCTGAAGATTCTATTTGTGGCAGTGCTACATTGAGACTTGCTTTATATTTAAACAAATTTCTAGGTGCTTCCGCCCATTCTAACCCACAGAATATTAGAGAACAATCTGGAAAGGGCAATGAGGACCTTATTCCAGAATCTGCCTGAGAGAGGTGTATGATCGGGAGTTGGCTGTTGCCTCTCATCTAACATCTCAAGTCACCAGAAGACCAGCATTGTGTGTGACGATCATTTCATACCATGTCTGGGCCTATAGCTGCAAGCTACTGTTGCTGACAGGTGAATATTACCATAATCACTGCTGTTGTAATGTTTTACCTTGAAACTGATACTGCCAGTTGATTTGTGAAGTAAGTTGATTTTAGAATAAGATTGTTAATTACATCACAGAACTTTGTCGGTTTCACACCTAGTTCTCTTACAGACTAATTCCAGGTCAACTTATTCGTTTCCACTTGGGAATGAACACTTAACAACACCTAATTAAAGTTATTGGCAATGCATCACAAAATCAATATCATTTTCAACTTGGAAATACAGTATATCCACCAACATTGCAACTGGTACCAGAGCAGCTCAATGAATTTTAGAAGTTAAGTGATACACATGCATTATCAATTGTAATAGTGACTGTTTCGATAAGCATTGGTCAAAGTGTCATTTTTTATGTGTATGAATTCATTGTTTACAAAACAGTTTACAAATGTTTTAGAAATAAATTAAAAAAATGTCATTTAACAGTATTTGCGGAATTTGATTAACAATATTGGTATGTTTTGGCCATTAGTCATAACTGTTGACATCTAAATATACATGTTGACTGTACCAGTTATTGTTTGTTAGCTTAGGTTGTTTGTGTTTTACATATGATCTGCAAAAGCAAGGTATGATACATCATGTTAATTACACCTCCATCCTCCAGTCATTAACATTAATTCAAGTCAGGAAATTATATCACAACTTCTAAGATGCCTAGCGGTTAGAACAATCGTAAAAAAAATACATTATCAGACAATAAAGGTATAGTTTTTGATGACGTAACAATTGAATGTTCGTTTATCCCGAACCCACTGCGAAATTCTCCAGTGTGCACCCTTTATAATCGAACCATTTTACATTACGTCACATGTGTCTCGCTCTTCATCATCAGACGATGCATGTCAGTTGCTAATTCTTCCGCTTTCGTGAAATCACTCCTACAGTAAACTACACCAACAAATGCATCCGAGTCCGTTTAATTGGTTTACTAGTTGCACCAATTAACTTTTCAGCTGACATCACTGGTGGAAACATTACGCTTATGTTTGAACGTATTTTACGCAACATTAAAATGTGTCATTTCGACTAACAAGTTTTCAGCGACTAATTAACGGTAACCGAAATCAATGATGACACAATGCAATCGTGGAATGTCGGAATCAACTTCCTCTGGATGTACTGATCTAAACTTACGTTGGTAGTAGAAATGCAACGCTCATATTGCCCCATATGGTTTCGTTAGACAGATGTAATTAAAACTAATTCGGATTTAACTGTAACGTAAATTTGCCATCAAACTGTTGGTTTGTTTTTTCTGCCATTAGTCTTAACGAGGGGTTGACACATCAATAGAAAGCTACCATAGCCCTGTGTTTAACTGTACCAGTTATTGTTTTCTGCCTTAAATTTCGTAATTAGCTTAGAAAGTTGTTTGTATCTTTTTACATATGATCTGCACAAAAGCAAGGTATGATACATCATGTTACTCGGACACCTCCATCCTCCAACTATAATAGTTCAGGGCATTAATTCAAGTCAGGAAATTATATCACAACATCTAATACTCTTATCTCTAATATTGCAAATGTGCAATTATTTTCTTTTGCTTAGTCGTTGTCTATTGGGCATCTATTTTCCAATTCACTTTGACATCAGGCCAAATGTATCTTATTGCAGTAAATGGGTCCTGGGATCATCCTGGTAGAAGGCAGACATAATATATTAATACATAACAATGGGTAACATTGAGGTTGACCACAAACTGATAGAGCTTAGTAAATTCAAAACATAAACATTGCTTCATAACATCCATTGATTGAAATTATGTAAACAAAACATAAATAGATGAAGATTTGAGGGGTCTCCATGTTTATCAATGAATCTTACAGACAGACACTAACAGTAAGATGTCAAAGGCATGTACACATGATCAATCATGATACTGGCAAAACATAATGACTATCAGGTCGACTGACCTTTAGTTGGTCCTAATGTCACTGAAAACTAACAGGAAGAACTCATCAAAACAGAAAGCTTAAACGTCTTAATATATAAGTGAACAATTCAAAACATTATTGATTTGTACCGTCTAACCATATGAAGTGTTTCCATGATGTTAATTTCAAGAGCGTTCCAAGTTTCCGCAAATTGACACTACTGTTCATTTCTGACATCCTTATTACAATAAATTAAAAAGTTATCTTAAAATGCATTAGAAGTGGGTCTTGTTGATTTTACATCTTGGAAGCAGTTGACATTTCCAGACAAATTTCTGTCGATTTTCAGTCATGTCATGTGTCTGTCATTTCTTCCCAAGCATGAAGCAGATCAGAGCATATGACGGGAAACAGCTTACCATCTAAAACTGTCACCAAACGATCGCCGCCAGAGTAGATAGGATTACCCCATGAATTAGGAGACACTTCTGATCTGTCAACTTTTGTTGTTGTTCTCAGCTTGATTTCAGCATGGCCTCCACATCTCGTGTTGTGCGGCGAGATAACGCGAGAAAATAAAAATAGTTTTATAGTTTGTTTCAAAGTTGTTGTCAGAGATCCCGCCATACTCGCGAACTGGTGGGAAACGTGGGTTTGGAAATATGATACCGAATATGTGACTTCACAGACTCCCTGTTTTATGCTGAACCAGGGGCGTAGCTACCATTATGAAAAAAAGCCCGTACTTACACTTGATTGTTGCTAAGAAGGTTGGGCAAGCCTTCAATACTATCTAAATATAAAGCTTTACAACCTATCGGGCTTACACGAAAAAATGGCTTGCTACGTGCCTGTGAAGCAAGATTTTTTGTCCATTGGTCGAAACGAACTTTCAAGATTTAAAAATATCTTCAACTTAGACCAATTACTGCTTTTTCATACATCAACTTTGGTTCAAAATTCTCGAAAAGGTTTAATGTTTTAACAGGCATATATACTAGGCACATAAAGAAACTGTGCATACAAAAATGTAAAATCTAAATTTATCAAACCTGTGTAGACACATAAGGATTTAAACTCAGAGATTAGTGACATGTATCCAACATGCATGCACGTACGTGCGACGTTCCGTGACGTCTGTGGGTTCGTCCTTGAGACGTGCAATACGTTGTTGCACGTGCATTCCGGGAAAGAGAAACAGAGCAAATGAATGCCACACAATACTGTCACTTTGGAAAGCTCAACCCCTGCCCTTGCGATCGTTCAAAAAATTAAACGGCTATTGAAACGCATAGCATGCCAAGGCCCACGTCTGCACAACGTCATGAGGCCATTGGGATGGTCCGTGGGGGAATGTCTCAACGACAAGTGGCTGCACATTTCCACTGCCACCGGAACACCATTTCTGCACTGGTGAGACGCTACCAGAACACAAATGACGTCATCGATTGGCCACGTTCTGGACGTCCACGTGTAACAACGCCAAGACAGGACATATGGATAAGGGTGACCCATCTTCGCCACAGGTTTCAGACTGCAGTGATGACTGCCCGAACCATCCCAGGACTTCGCCGTATCCACCCCAACACAGTTCGACAACGTTTACGTCATCACGGGATCAGACCACGACGTCCCGCCATACGGCCTATCCTTACACAACGTCATCGACAAGCTCGCCGAATGTGGTGCCGAAATCATGTCCGCAGACCCTTGTTTTGGTGGAGAAATGTTGTTTTTACAGATGAGTCCAGGTTTAACATTTCCCATAGTGATGGACGTCAACGTGCCTATAGACGCGTGGGAGAACGTTATGCACAGGCCTGTGTCTTGGAGAGGAATCGCTTTGGTGGTGGTTCCGTGATGATTTGGGGTGGAATAACAGCACGCCAAAGAACTCCTTTGGTGATTGTTCAGGGCAACTTAACTGGTGTGGGCTACGGGGATCAGATTCTTCGACCTGTGGCAATTCCTTTTCTGCAACGTCATGGCCTTCGGTTAACATTCCAACAGGACAATGCCCGCCCTCATACGGCAAGGGTTGCTTTGGATTTCTTGCAACACCACAACGTTGACTTACTGCCTTGGCCTGCAAATTCACCGGATCTCTCCCCGATAGAGCATGTTTGGGACGAGATGGATCGACGTCTACGCCGTCTTCCTCATCCGCCAGATAACGTCCTTGACCTTGCAACAGAACTTGAGAGAATCTGGCGTGACATCCCACAAGCCTTCCTTGCACGTTTGATAGGCTCTATGCGTCGTCGATGCACTGCTGTTCTCAATGCCGATGGTGGACATACCCGTTATTGAGCTTGTGACATGGTCGTTTGACCCCTGTCCCGCTTGTGGACTCGTGACGTCATTGTGATTGACTTTTTAATTGAAAATCTCCCGACTTGTTGTGGTCTCATGATCCCTCCCTTAAAGTTTATAGATAGATAGATATTCTTTATTTCCTCCAGTGAATGAAGATACAATGTGATATGATATATTGACATGCAGATCAGAAACAGGGGAATACAGATAGTTACAAACAGTTTACAAAGAAATGTTTCCAGTTGTTAACAGTTGTACATACATTGGTCATACATTCAAGCCATACATTATCATCAAGGGATAGACAATATTCCGTTGGAAGTCCTCCGAGTAAGAAACATAGAATCAATTCTTCATCATTGTTCCAAAGGCTAGAAAACGTATTTACATCTACTCTGTCAATAATTGATTCGATAAGAAGATCTCTCTGACGGCTTGTCAGCTCGCAGTACATAAAAACATGTTTGACAATATCGTAGGCAAATGTGCCACATATACACTCTTTGATTGGATACGCAGAGTACTAATTTGCACCAAGTTTGCAATACAGTGAAATAGATCAGGTCGTAGGATCGACATTTGCCATAATCTATGTATATTCTGGTCTCGCACTGAATAGTATCTATGTTGATTTTCCCTTGACGTTAACTCTTTACATATATGGATATTTTCAGCATCATGAATGTTTTCGTAACATGGACATTCCATTGTGCTTTATTAGGAAAGCTGGCAGACACAATGTATGTATTTACATAACCTGTCAGGTCGTATTTATATGTTAATAGTAGCATATGGTAGATAGGGGATTTTGTACTTTTAGCTTCTCTTTCATAACATGAGTCAAGTAAGAATTGACTAAGTTTAAAGTTTAAGACATTCTTGAATACAAAGTTTAAATTACCTCTACATAATTTGCCAAGGAACATAAGACAACGTTTTTCTATGTATGCTTGGACTGATAGTAAATTTAAACAGTCTCGTGCGACAACTGTCGAAGAACATTTAGAGAGCCCCTGGATGTGTTTACAGAAGAAAGATTGAGCTCGTTCAAGTATTTCATACTCTTTAGATGTTAGTTTACACCATAATTCACAAGCAAACAGGGCACATGGTAACATAACTCTGTTCCACCCGTTATTGAGCTTGTGACATGGTCGTTTGACCCCTGTCCCGCTTGTGGACTCGTGACGTCATTGTGATTGACTTTTTAATTGAAAATCTCCCGACTTGTTGTGGTCTCATGATCCCTCCCTTAAAGTTTATATGTACCTTTGACATTGTTATCGTACTTATCAACTGGGATAATATTTTGACACTGCACAGTTTCTTTATGTGGCTAGTATATGTAGAGCTGAAGGGGTCGTTGTCGACACAGGTAGGTTTCTATATACAGAAATGTACCCCAAACAAAATCAAAATACAGAAACGTACCCAGTACCCTAATACGGCGGAATAGTCCATATTCCGCAACCCAAAGCCGAAACGTATGTAGTTATTCCCGTACCCGTAACTGTTTGCGAGAGGTCCTGTGCATCGCAAAATATCAGTTACTGTGTATGCTCATTTCTTATATATTATGTAACGCAATCAAATGTATCTAATACAACGGGATGACAGTTCTGATCAAGAACACGGCACAGTGCAAAATGGACTCGTCCTAGGTTAGCTTCTGTATTGAAGATTTTGGCTAGGGTACGTTTCTATGTACAGAAATGTACAGAAGACACGGGTTCGATTTCCCACATGGGCACAATGTGCAAAGCACATTTCAGGTGTCCCCGCCGTGATATTGCTGAAATATTGCTTAAGGCGGCGTAAAACTAAACTCACTCACTCACCTTTGTTATAAGGTAGCGTGATTCATTGTTGAACAGAGTTTAATTGTGTTACATTGTTTGTGCTAAGATCCAGCAGGGGCAGTGGTGTGCTTGTTACTAAATTTAGACTGTGAGGCTGGTCAGAAAGCACCCGGAATATTCCAGCGTATTCAAAGCGAGCATTTGCAGAAAGTTCCAGAACAGAAACCTCTGAGAGCGTTGGCCCAGAGATGCAGTTGGTTGAATGTAACTATAGAGAAGATTTTAGGGGGAAATGTGACAGAAACCAATCAAAATCACCGAAACTTTGATGAACGCTTTAATTGTATGATTGTCTTCACACACAAAATCAGGCATGTTCGATTAATGAATCTAAGAGCGCTATATATACAGTCAGTTTATACACCCGGATCAAACGCTGTTACAGTGAGTGACGAGGGCTTTGCAGCGGTTAGCGCAGTTCTAGCAATATAAATATGGCGGACAGGAGATACGGGCTTCAAAGTTGTCTAGTGGTGCCGGTATACTATCGAGATCGGGAATTCGCTCTGGCACCAGTAGACAACCCAGCTCCACAATAACTGCTGATATAAAAGTGATGGTGTTGAATGTTGTGCTCCGTGTTTGTTGACTACAATGAGCTATAATTATTATGGTGGCGGTCAGTACATAATCTAACCTGGACCAGACAGTCCAATGAATGACATCATGAACATCGATCTACGCTGATACCGGTCCATGTGTCGACCAAGGCAGCCAGTCTGGCCACGCCATGTGATTGGCCGCGTCTTACGACAAGCATGCGTTGCTAAAGATTGATTCTAATACGGATGACAAAGCATATTTATCTTCTTTTTTTTAAAGCATTCGTTTTGTCACATAACTACAGCAGCAAAGATTAGCTACTGTTAAGGGCCCCGTTTCACAAAGCGATCGTAGCAATAAGGTGATCGTAACTCCCATACTTTATCATAGTCTTACGACAGTCGTAGCGCTACGATCGCTTTGTGAAACGGGCCCCTGGAAGCTTGGTAAGGCTCCCTGCTATATTGAAACGGACTGTAGGAGAGAAGAGAGCAACATGGCAGAGGACAGGAGACTTCAGAACGTGAAGGCGAGTATTGCAGCGCACCCTGACTTCCCGAAGCCAGGGATTTTATTCAGGTACGAAGCGTTGAATGACACGGAAAGCTAACCCTCTATGTACTATTTTATCACGAATGTCATTGTCGTTTAAGGTGGATATTTAGTGTGCCACATAGGTTACAAGCTGCAGTACGAATTTAGAGCACGGGGCCCTGTTTAGGTTGGGTTAAGTGTGTATATCATATTTTTATTGTTTATTGACTTCTTGTTGATCGTGTACCAGTCCAGACATTATTTTACACAATTTAATTAATCAAAGTCTCTGCTGCGGTTACATGCTCAGACGAAATGTTATGTAAACACCTAAATTCTGAGATAAAATTAAAAAGCTCTCCAACCAAGGCTGGTTTATTAATGTTTAACTACACCCGTAACATGTCAACCTCTAAACACTCTACGTAAGGGTGGTGAGACTCTCTTGAATATTGTGCAACAAAAGAAAGCATGATTTTAGATTTTCCTTTAGTTTAGGAAATATAGGAAAAAGTACGAGATATTTCTTCCATGCAGATAGCAAAACAGTTCGTGTTGATCTAACAGTAACAAAGCAAAGCCAGATGGCAGTAGTACCACGGGACCAGTATAGGTACTTGGTCGGTCTTGAGACAAAGTTTTGACACTGGCAGACCATGTACATCAGCATGATGCCAAATAGGGAAATACTGCATCAAGTAAAGGAACGGAATTCAAACATGGTAAAGTTGAACTGACCAAAGAGAGTCACAGCACAATATTATTTCTTACATGTGTGAGGGTGCTGTCTGTCAATATTTACAATGCAATGCATCCAGCAAGTCATCAACCTGACACACCCATTATGTTAAGTTGTATCTTGCAACAAAATGAAGACCATATCTAACCTAATCTTCATGGTGTAAAAAACACTGAAGTGTGATGTGTTTCGAAATGACCAAACAATGGTGTGTTTCCACTGAATGTATTGACCATGAGTCTAGTACACTTTCATGTGACATGTGGTTGCCCATGCACACGCACGTCTTAGGGAGCGCTTATTGTATGCGTCAGGGAGGAGTAATCAATATTTCTTAGCTGTGCTGACATGATGAACCAGAGTGAACCTTGCAGCCAGCATCATGTATAAGTACGTGACTGATGAAGGTGATATATAGAGAATCTCACCCAAGTGTCTTCTGATATCAATTATATCAACACGAGTTGTTAAAGTTACAAATATCCGAGGCTTGCCGAGGATATTTTTACTTTATCAACGAGTGTTGATATATTTGATATCAGAAGACACGAGGGTGAGATTCTATTTATCATCCAAAATCACTCTTCATTAATTTTCAATGAAAAAGGTACATCTCTGAACATGGTACTGCCATTAGACTTGCAGTGCATCGGTGTCATAGCATTGTGACGTCATCAAGTACATGACGTCATAGCATTGTCAGGGCATTGTACAAAATCTACTGTCAAAACGATATCTCCTAGGAGATATCGTTTGATCTCACACAAGCGATATCTCCTGTGGAACACAGTTTTGGATGATAAATGTATAAACATCACACAGCTGCCTGTATGAATATCATACAGATGTTAGCTTCCAGTGGTGGTGAGCAACTTCTTTAAAACTTGATCTGATGAATCCCTTTGAGGAAAACAAAACTTTACTAATCATCCCTGGTCATAAACAGAGACATAATGCATATCCACCACTCTATGGTATAATCATTACAGTATATATGGCCATTGATCCTCTACAGATAGATCTCAGCAACAATTATGTCGTAACTCTCCTGCTGCAACATACAGGGTTTAGCTAGCTCACTCACTCACTCACTCACAGAACTGGAGGTTGCACAGATGGCCATTGGTGTCCCTTTGACTTGGAATATTGTTGACTGTAGGCCTGAGCAACAGATCCTCACTACAACTTTTCATGTCAAATGATACCGTTTACTTCCAGGGATATATTTCCTGTTCTAAGAAATCCGCCTGTCTTCAAACAGCTTCTGGACATCATGACGGAATATCTTCAGTCACAGTGTACAGGAGTTGAGATCATCGTCGGCCTCGAATCCAGAGGCTTTTTGTTTGGACCAATCCTGGCTCAGAACCTCAACATAGGTTTCGTGCCGATCAGAAAGAAGGGAAAGTTACCAGGCTTGACGGAGAAAGTGACATATCAACTAGAATATGGCGAGGTAACTTACTGAATCTTTCAGACAGGTAATACTGGTGGACTGTAGTCTCTCTTCTTCAAGTGGACGATGCTATGTTGTTTTACTTAAGTCTTCAAGTAGTCCTATTCCAAATTCAACCTTTACAACTGAACACTTTCCATCATTCTGCTCAATCAGTGTAAATCTCTTGCTGTATGAGGAATCAGCCATGTTAGAAACGTTCTGGGCATATTGGCTAGTTGTCTGGAATATCAGCTTGGCCTGCCCTATAAGAAAGTTGCCAGCCATATTAGAAAATTACCATTCTTTGTAGAAATGTACGATTCCTATGTATTTATTAACCCTGTTAGAAATGTACAAGCTCTATTACAAGCCTCCCAGCCTGTTAGAAATTTCTGAACCCATTACATCTTTAACCTGCACATCAAGATTTCAGGAATGTATCAATCTATTGGCATTGACATTCTTGTACTGTTTGTGAATGTTGCAAGGTATGAGTAATATACCAGTCTCATTATAATATATTGGGCCATTTTAAAACATGAATTTCCCTATAAGGAAGATTTTAACAGTTGTAGAAGGTTACCTGCCAAAGATTTGAGCAGAATCATTAATTCATTGTGACCATATATCTGCAACCATACTCCTGGCAACCTGACATGTACATCTATCACACTGTACAAGAATTACCCATGAAATTTCTAGTATTGATATTCACAGAACACCCCCATACAGCTGGATGTATGTTGTTTTTGAAGATTGATGTGTTATGCAGGATTGTTTCGATGTTGTTTTGGAAGATTGATGTTGTTTTGCAGGACTGTTTGATGTGATTGATGTTGTTTTGCAGGACTGTTTTGATGTTGTTTTGGAAGATTGATGTTGTTTTGCAGGACTGTTTTGATGTTGTTTTGGAAGATTGATGTTGTTTTGGAAGATTGATGTTGTTTTGCAGGACTGTTTTGATGTTGTTTTGGAAGATTGATGTTGTTTTGGAAGATAGGTGTTGTTTTGCAGGACTGTTTTGAGGTTGTTTTAGAAGATAGGTGTTGTTTTGCAGGTCTGTTTTGAGGTTGTTTTAGAAGATAGGTGTTGTTTTGCAGGACTGTTTTGAGGTTGTTTTGGAAGATAGGTGTTGTTTTGCAGGACTGTTTTGAGGTTGTTTTAGAAGATAGGTGTTTTGCAGGTCTGTTTTGAGGTTGTTTTAGAAGATAGGTGTTGTTTTGCAGGACTGTTTTGAGGTTGTTTTAGAAGATAGGTGTTGTTTTGCAGGACTGTTTTGAGGTTGTTTTAGAAGATAGGTGTTGTTTTGCAGGACTGTTTTGAGGTTGTTTTAGAAGATAGGTGTTGTTTTGCAGGACTGTTTTGAGGTTGTTTTGGAAGATTGATGTTGTTTTAGAAGATTGATGTTGTTTTAGAAGATTGATGTTGTTTTAGAAGATTGATGTTGTTTTGCAGGACTGTTTTGATGTTGTTTTGGAAGATTGATGTTGTTTTGCAGGACTGTTTTGAGGTTGTTTTAGAAGATAGGTGTTGTTTTGCAGGACTGTTTTGAGGTTGTTTTAGAAGATTGATGTTGTTTTGCAGGACTGTTTTGAGGTTGTTTTAGAAGATTGATGTTGTTTTGCAGGACTGTTTTGAGGTTCAGCAAGATTCCATCAAGCCTGGACAAAAGGTTGTGATTGTTGATGACCTCATGGCAACCGGAGGTAAGGTCAAGGTCATTCTGAGATTCTTTAAACAGAAGATTGTAAATTATTTATCCTCATTGGAATGTGATACAGAGATGGCATGTCACACATGCATACACACATACAGAGATGGAATGTACACACACAGCATGCACGCACACACACAACACGTGGTGCTACACACACACAGATGGCATGTACACACACACAGCATGCACGCAGACACATGGCACGCGTGCACACACACATATGGCATCTACACACAGCATGCACGCACACACACGGCACGCGTGCGCACACATACAGAGATGGCTTGTACACACAGTATTCATGCACACAGATGGCATGTACACATTATCCAATAGTTGTATCCATACTTGCCATGAGATCATATGCGTTAGAGTAAGAGCCGCAGCACTCTGTAGTTGATTGAGTGCCAATCACCATGGCACATCTAACTTTACATGGCTCTTCTGACAACCATTACAGTCAGTCAAACCATATTCCTTCATTCTAATCATTATTCATGGTCATAGAAATCGAATATTCATATATATTTTAAAGGAATATTTTTATTTGAATTTGGTATTATTTATCAAAGGGAAATATATGCAAAATGAAATATCCAAGCCAGGCAGCCTTGTAATTTGACAGTAATGTTATAAATTAACAAGTCAAAAACTTGTCAAGGAATGTATGTTGTTTCACTGAACATAATGAATAATACATCAACTGGTGACGTGTTATTGTATTTGTTACCCAATACTTGTACTTGTTGCCCTGTATTCTAGATGTGTATCATGTTCACGTCATAGTGCATTCGTTCTGACCAACTTTTCACGATGATTGTTACCTGCCATACACTTTCTGCATTTCCATGTTTGTGAGAATGTTAGGTGGTTCTGGGTATGCAGCATGTTTGTGAGAATGTTAGGTTCTGGGTATGCAGCATGTTTGTAAATGTGCATACATTTATCACAGGCTGTTGTATATACCATCACAAGCATGCCGACTTCCTTACAATTCACTTCAATATATTATAATGTTTATGGAGGTAGTAATGTAAAAATATAGTGCAAACTTTGCATCATTCCATGTGTGTTTACGTGGATTTACAGTACATTCACCAGTTTATGTGTTCACCCCTCCGCGAGTGCAAAGAATAGTCAATCTTCAGTGATATAAGTGTCCTATTTCAAGGTATTCTGTTAGCTTTACTGGACTTGTGGTAGGTTCCTTGCCATACAAACTGAATGTCCATTTGTTTGTTTCAGGTACAATGAAGGCAGCATTTGATTTGATGGAAACAATCAAGGCCGACGTTCTGGGAGGTCTTGTTGTCATTGAACTTGTTGATCTCAAAGGTCGTGATAAGTCAAACAAACCCATAAAATCTCTCCTAGAATATTAGATGCTTCACATGACACAGGTCTTCAGCTTCCATTTAGTTGTAACTGAGTGACTGAATTTAGTTTTATGCCGCACTCAGCAATATTTCAGCTATATGGCGGCATTTTAGATGTGAAAATCGAGTTATATAGATGCAGGTTGTCATGAACGGTCTTCAGTTGTTAATCGACACTCAGAGCCTTCATGGAATATTGAAATATATCATGCTACATGTACATTTATATATATCAGTGATGTAAGAGAGTAATATGGATGCAAGAATTCATGAAATGTGGAAATATATCACACTTTCAAACACATTTATATATCAAAGAGCAAACATCCAAAGTTTGTTTTCCATCTATAGATAACAGAACATACATCCATACTTTGTTGAAAGATTATGGAAACCAACAGTTCCTTATCCTGAGATGAAGTTTACTTCTAGAGCTACTTCATCATGAGCTGAGGTCAGAGGCTGTTCTAATTACCTCCCTGCCATGTGGCATTGTGTCCTTGGTTACGTTGTTCCGTCATTCTTGTAAATCAAAATAGCTCATATGCATCAATATCAGAGATTGGTGAAACAGATCTTATGAGGAATCACAAAAACTATGTGTATCAAACATTTTGATAGTTAAAAAGTTTAGAGTTTCACCTTGTTAGAAGAAATTAAACTAATCGGTGCTTTCTTTCCTCACACTTTTTCAAATTCCAGTGTTTAGTTGTTGATATGTTCTGCCGCTCACAGGTATAACCAAGCATATGACAATAATCCCAGCTGATGAATGTAATGTCAGACCGCTGTCTGTATGGTACAGACATGACAATAACTGTAAACTACCCTTGTATTTTGTTCCCTAACATGACGATGAATGGAATTCAGTGGGAGGCAGGGTCTTTATTTCTGTAAATAGAACAGTTCTGGGCATAACTTTCTTACAGTACACATGGATGTGTGGTTCATGTATTCTAAAATATATATTACATAAGATTTCTCACTGACAGAAATTGGTTCAGTCAAGACTTGCTCCCACATCTGTTTTCACTATTTTCTTTAAGATCCTGAACAGCAAAAGAAACGCAAGTTTTGAAAAAATGAAATCTCATGAAAGTAAGTGTTCATGTTTGTCTTCTATTTAAAAACTTGACCAAAAGCCAGAGTTGCATTTCTTTTGCTGTTCAGTATAGTTTACATTACCTCAATAGAATAAGAAGTTGTATTCAATAAATTGTCCTTTGTCCATTATCAGGAAGTGGATATATAATGTTAGGTCTTTCTGCATAAGGGGTGATGGTGTAGCCTAGTGGTTAATCATTCTCTTGTCACACTGAAGACCCGGGTTTGATTCCCCACATTGTGTGCAGCCCATTTCTGGTGTCCCCACTGTGATATTGCAAAAAAATGTATAAAACCCAACTCACTCACATTCACTCTTTCGGCATAAAAAATCTGATTATACAGTTAGCCTTATTTTCAAGGAATTAATGTCATTTATATAAAGGAAGTTTGTCAAATATATCAGTTGAAGCTGGTGGGTAGGACAGATGTACCAAATTTAGACAAGAAGCAGCCATTCAGAGAGGTAAATGTGTATTTATTGCAAAAGAGTACCAACTGGTGGTGGACAGTACAGTAATTATTCAGGGGAAGAAGACATTTTTAATATACTACTTCATGACATTCATAAGGATTGTTTCATTAACAATACCGTGTAATATCAAATGTAATAAATTGATGGGTGTCTGTATGACATGGAAGATTTTCTTTTGAAATATCTCCCACAATGTCGCCCATGGCTCAGTGTCATGTAGATTGTGTATGGATTTGTCAGTGGTGGATGTATACTGGTATGAGAGGTAAATGTTCTACTTTGTTACACGGTTTATATATCTAGATATCAAATAAACATTTGAGAATAAAGATGGTGTTATCTTGTTTTTGATGATATTGATGCACATACTGATCCATGTGGAACTGGGTGCAGTAATTGCTCTGGTCTGAACTACCATGACAGATAATTTATCTGTATATTATGTCCATGATGTTGTCTCCAGTGGAAACTGTCCCTGACCAACACAGGTAAGTGCAGACTGGTATGCCCCCACCACACATATTCCACTCTCAAACTCTTGCGGAGTGCGGCGTAAACTAAACTCACTCACTCACCCCACTCTCAAACACCTTGCATGATCAACATCATCAACAAAGTGAAACAAAGTGCTGATCTATTAATCTATTAGAGTCATACAAGCCTGCCGTGCACCACCATACCACAACTTGTGAATGTCAACTGTTTTAACAATAAGCAATAGTGGTATGTTTCATAACCTTTGGAAATGGGACCAGGGCATATATACCATTCAAACAGCTGATTCATAATATGAAAGAAGTGGGTGCTTTTTGTAACTTCTTTCGAGTAGTGCATAATCTTTAGTCATCTTTCCAGTTCACCTTGGGAGAACTGTCATGGCCGGTGTCAAACGGACCACCTAAATATCACAACCAATAGATCCAGTGTGCTTAAAGTCCAGTGACCACGGGGCCATCTGATCTCCGCCTGGGTTGCCCAGAACAGCAGAGTAGGTAGGTAAGGAAACAAAAAGACATGTACAACATTTTAATTGATCATGACATCATTACAAAGCCAAAGAACACAAGACGTGAAATGTCCACATTAATCAAATAATTGCCCACCCTACCCCTTATCTAGTTGGTGCACGCCTCAATTATCTTGCAAAAACTGCTCTTCTCCAGCATGATCGATACGGCATCACCTGCCTTTCCCCCTCCCCCCTCTTGCAACATCTCCGTGAAATAGATCAGGTACCCCAAAGTTGTCGTCACTAATGTCCTCCTCGTAAAGCCAACACAAGATGAAGCACAGATCCTCCTGTCACTTTGTAATCTGATGCTGTCTTCTCATCGTTCCTGCAATCAAGCAATATTTTTATATAGTACCAACCATCATTGCCTGCTGTATAATTCCACAGTCAGCAACCCGAGAAGATTACAGTTACAGGGCTCCAGATATTTTTTCAACATCAGGAGTATGTACTCCATATTTTTTCACTACAGGAGTACTGGAAAACCTTAAGAGTACATTTAGAGTACTGAGTGGAATTTAATGGCATATCAGTAATCTTGTGTTTCGTTTCATATATGCACCACAACATTGCTACTTTTGTGTAAACAGGTCAATAACAAAAAAACAATATTTTTCTTCAGATAAATACGTCTGTGAATGATTCTAAGACCGTACACTATTGCTGTGGTGCATACCTGCTACGTTTTCTAAATTATTTGCTACCGTATTGTGCATATTTTTTATCCGTACATACGCCGATACGGCCCTTATCTGGAGCCCAGCAGTTAGAATTGGTCTTCAGCAACCCATGCTTGTATAAGGCGACAAACGAGATCGGTTGGTTAGGCTTGCTGACTTAATTGACACGTGTTATCATATCCCAGTTGCATAGATGAACAGGATTGTCTGGTCCAGACTCAATTATTTACAGGCCACTGCCATATAGCTGGAATATGGCTGAGTGCAGAGTTCAACAAGAAACACCAACTACACTCCAGCTGTGTGATGGCTGCCTGCACATTACCAAATCAGGGACCAGATAATGAGTGAATTTCACAACCAGAGTAGGTTGCCGAGCACTGATTCTAACCTGGAATCATGACTAAAGTATAGTCTTCAGTGACACTTGTAGCAAGTGGACATACTTACATCTGTTTGCCGCTGAAGATTAACCTCTGCTGCTGAGGTGGGATGCCCTCCTTCTCCTCCACCCTCTCCTTGATCCTCTCCACCTGCAGCACATGGAACTGTCAATACCATCCTTCCATATACAATCACATGGGTTCAGTATATACTGGACTTACACTGACTCTAAAAGTGTCAATGCCATCCTTCCATATACAGTCACATGGGTTCAGTATATACTGGACTTACACTGACTCTAAAAGTGTCAATGCCATCCTTCCATATATAATCACATGGGTTCAGTATATACTGGACTTACACTGACTCTAAAAGTGTCAATACCATCCTTCCATATATAATCACATGGGTTCAGTATATACTGGACTTACACTGACTCTAAAAGTGTCAATGCCATCCTTCCATATATAATACTGGACTTACACTGACTCTAAAAAGTGTCAATGCCATCCTTCCATGGGTTCAGTATATACTGGACTTACACTGACTCTAAAAGTGTCAATGCCATCCTTCCATATATAATCACATGGGTTCAGTATATACTGGACTTACACTACTCTAAAAGTGTCAATGCCATCTAAAAGTGTCCATCCTTCCATATACAGTCACATGGGTTCAGTATATACTGGACTTACACTGACTCTAAAAGTGTCAATGCCATCCTTCCATATATAATCACATGGGTTCAGTATATACTGGACTTACACTGACTCTAAAAGTGTCAATGCCATCCTTCCATATATAATCACATGGGTTCAGTATATACTGGACTTACACTGACTCTAAAAGTGTCAATGCCATCCTTCCATATATCACATGGGTTCAGTATATACTGGACTTACACTGACTCTAAAAGTGTCAATACCTGGACTTACACATGGACTCTAAAAGTGTCAATGTCCATCCTTCCATATATAATCACATGGGTTCAGTATATACTGGACTTACACTGACTCTAAAAGTGTCAATACCATCCTTCCATATACAGTCACATGGGTTCAGTATATACTGGACTTACACTGACTCTAAAAGTGTCAATGCCATCCTTCCATATATAATCACATGGGTTCAGTATATACTGGACTTACACTGACTCTAAAAGTGTCAATACCATCCTTCCATATATAATCACATGGGTTCAGTATATACTGGACTTACACTGACTCTAAAAGTGTCAATGCCATCCTTCCATATATAATCACATGGGTTCAGTATATACTGGACTTACACTGACTCTAAAAGTGTCAATACCATCCTTCCATATACAGTCACATGGGTTCAGTATATACTGGACTTACACTGACTCTAAAAGTGTCAATGCCATCCTTCCATATACAGTCACATGGGTTCAGTATATACTGGACTTACACTGACTCTAAAAGTGTCAATGCCATCCTTCCATATATAATCACATGGGTTCAGTATATACTGGACTTACACTGACTCTAAAAGTGTCAATGCCATCCTTCCATATATAATCACATGGGTTCAGTATATACTGGACTTACACTGACTCTAAAAGTGTCAATACCATCCTTCCATATACAGTCACATGGGTTCAGTATATACTGGACTTACACTGACTCTAAAAGTGTCAATGCCATCCTTCCATATACAGTCACATGGGTTCAGTATATACTGGACTTACACTGACTCTAAAAGTGTCAATGCCATCCTTCCATATATAATCACATGGGTTCAGTATATACTGGACTTACACTGACTCTAAAAGTGTCAATGCCATCCTTCCATATATAATCACATGGGTTCAGTATATACTGGACTTACACTGACTCTAAAAGTGTCAATGCCATCCTTCCATATACAGTCACATGGGTTCAGTATATACTGGACTTACACTGACTCTAAAAGTGTCAATGCCATCCTTCCATATACAGTCACATGGGTTCAGTATATACTGGACTTACACTGACTCTAAAAGTGTCAATGCCATCCTTCCATATACAGTCACATGGGTTCAGTATATACTGGACTTACACTGACTCTAAAAGTGTCAATGCCATCCTTCCATATATAATCACATGGGTTCAGTATATACTGGACTTACACTGACTCTAAAAGTGTCAATACCATCCTTCCATATACAGTCACATGGGTTCAGTATATACTGGACTTACACTGACTCTAAAAGTGTCAATACCATCCTTCCATAAAAAATCACTTAGTTCTCATATACAGCAGTATCTTTGATGATTTGATTTTCACTCTCATATTGACAGCAGATCGACTTATACAACGACTTATGACAGCTGCACAGCTGATACATACAAGCAGCTTCTTATGAAACCCACTCTGCCATGACAGCTGCACAGCTGATACAAGATAATACAAGCAGCTTCTTGTACATCATGAAACCCACTCTGCCATGACAGCTGCACAGCTGATACAAGATAATACAAGCAGCTTCTTGTACATCATGAAACCCACTCTGCCATGACAGCTGCACAGCTGATACAAGATAATACAAGCAGCTTCTTGTACATCATGAAACCCACTCTGCCATGACAGCTGCACAGCTGATACAAGATAATACAAGCAGCTTCTTGTACATCATTCATCAGGAAATCAACAAAAATACAATGTTTCATACATACCCTGTCTGTGGGCTCAATATCAATCTCGATCTGGAAAACAAACATAAGTTGTATAAGTCGTTGAAACTTTCCATGACACCAGGCTGAGAGGCAGGAAATACATGTTGTGTTTATTGTACACAGTGCCGATGATGCAGGGACATGAGGATATTATGCTTCAAAAACACAAGAGACGATGTATGACACCTAAATGTCAGTTATTATAACATATTTCACAAACTAAACATATTGCAGGGATGGCAACAGGAAAATGTTTCTATACTCAGCAGAAAACTAATATTGTGTCATCGAATGGGCGGTTCAATGACACAATTTATAACCAATTTAGAAATATAATCTGTGGAAATCTGCCAATCGGCAGAAAATTGTCATCCCTGATATTGAGATTGTACAACAATTATAATGTGATCTCCATGAACACGTCGGATAAGCTGAAAAAATTCACAGGTTGTCCACCATTATATTATGGGATTCTACATAGTTAGTGGTTCATAAACTACACTATATCATGTATACAGTTGGTATCAACAGTGCTGTTTCACTTTCTTTCTCTGAATGAGTTTGATTCATTTAACAATACTGACTGTAACAGTGTATGAAATAAGGCCCGTCTGACCACCCGAAATGGGCTAGATTTCTGACGGACGGTCTAAATTTACAGCTAGCCAGCCCGATGGTCTGGTAAAAGTTTAGATGTTCTATACATATCTTGGTGTCTGGTCTGGTTAAATCTGAAGTCTGGTTGGGTTTTTGGCTTATTTCATACACTGACTGTAACCATGACAACTGCTTCAGATACATTTTTATAGACAGGTTGAATATATTAGGAGCAATGACCTCGCACCATGTGAATGTTCAAGTACAACACTGCCTGCATGACAGAACACCAGGATGAAACATGGTCCTAGGAAGGGGTTCAGGCTGCATTTCAAATAAGTTAAACAAGTGCAAGTTCTAAGTTGCTAAATCAATCTGGTAATATGCCTTCATTAGAAGAACCATTAGAAAAACAATTAGGAGATAAACCTACTGTGTGGGAAAATCAGAGGTATATAACGAAATTATAATAGCTCTAAATTTCATTTAAAACCGAACGCGTAGCGTGAGGTTTTAAAAATGAACAATTAGAGCTATTATAATTTCGATTATATACCTCTGATTTCCCACACAGTGGGTTTATTTCCCCACACAGTGGGTTTATCTCCATTCTACCATGGCAATTTTATGAACAATTTCAGGTGGAGCTCTTTCTTTGGTTACGAAGTCAATGCGTGAAGCTGCCTCACATTCCAATCTCAAGTGGCATCGCCGGAAACGGGGTGATTGGCGGCAAACCGTCAATGACTAACAAACTCCAGATTCAGTAATAACAAATCACGTTTTGTTTTTTCAATGCATCAATCACCAATCATTAACTGATAAGTTGGAAAACATATATCAAATAAGTTTAAAAGCTTGGTTCACATTTGAAAATTCCACCGTAGACCCTTTCCCCACCAGAATAATGGCAGCAACCTCATGGCCTTGACCTTTCTCGGAAGTCATTGTTTACATTTACGGGCAAATTTGGAAAGATGCTACAGGAGAGCCTCTGACAGTTTGCTAAGGTTAACCTGATTGTATGACTGAGATAGTCTTTGATATCTAATTACTGGTACTGGTACAAAATTTAAGAGTAGAGGCTTTTGCTGTAACGAGAAGTCCGTGTTGTACCGAATTTAGATACTGTTGAATTTTGCTTCCAGTCAACTTGACGATTTCACGCACCTCTCGTCTCTGCATGGCGACAGCTGTGGTGACTCTTACACTCATGTGTGTACTTTGTGCTCAAATTCGATTCTACGGATATTATTTTCTACATTTGGAAAGTGTTTTGTGACCTAGTGGCTTCAAAGTGTAGTGAATTCAAATTGAATCGGATTCGCTGTCATGTTCAAGCGAGTCTGTTGACAAAGAGCCAGATTTGTGGTGATATTTCGAAAGGATGGATCAGGACATGAGGGTGTACCTCTGGCAAACACACGGTAAGGTAATTAATTATACTTTAATAGACTACTTTAGATCACGCAGTGTAATGGATAAGAGGGATCATGACTAAGCTAAATAACTTTTTCAACGATATTATACTTTCAAAAAAATATGTTGGGCTAAACAGAACGGTTTGCAGATTCTGTAATTGTGTTTTACTACCGCTAAATTTGAAACAGTACAAATTTCAAAATATCATTTTGTTTGAATTGATAACCCAACTGTTTATTTATGTGGACGGAAAGCATTAAAATTTCTTCGGCGCTCGATGTTAATGCATCCTCCGTACCGCATCAAGATCAGTGGCGATATCGTTGATCTAAAGCTGATAATTAATTTAACACGGAAATTAGCAGTCTGACATAACATAGAATCAACGTAAACATATTTGTTTTTGCTGAATTTTTATTCGGAAAGCAGACGATGTTTTGATCTTGTTCGACTGAATATTTGTTTCCATGCTTTCAAAGTACTTTTGTATGTATAAACACCTATTGCTGTGATTTACGCAAGTAGTGAGTCGAGCCCGTCATCGCTAAATCCATCTTTAAAGACATGTGTAATTTCCGACAGCAAAATCGCCTTAATTTATCGATGCATCGGAAGGTTGTTTGGTGTCCGCCATGTTGGTGGGCAGACAAAAATAGTGCATTACCGTAAACCATGTATGATTGCGTAAGGGAAACAGAGACCTGTATAACGTGATTATATACCTCTGAATGACTTTAATTAACCAATCACAATCCAGTGTTTACTGAAGTCATGGTAGAATATGCTTTATTTCAGAAATGTGAACAAGGAGAGGGAATGACTAAATATTGTGGCAAGATTAATTATCATGACATATTTATATGCAAAATGTAACATTTCAGAGTGTTCAACATGTTCAAGATTATTGCTGTCCTACATAAATGTACATGTGTATCTACTTGTGTGGGTATGTGTGTGTCACTGATTGTACTAGTCACTAAGTCAAGACAGAGGCTGGTTCTTTTGTACCAACACACTGATATACTTTACTCAACTCAGACACTTCCTACTGAGTCCTTGCTTTATCCTCTTAACGCTGAACACAAGGCAGGGTAACGATGAAAACCTTGTTTGAATGTCTTATTTCATGATATGGACAGGCAATCCAACCATGCACCTTCCTTACTCGAGGCAGACATTGTATTCACTCCAGCATGGAGGTTGTCTTTCTTTTCACAGAATTACAGATATGGTCTCCCTCACATTTTCACTACATATAGATTTCAAATAAACAGACCATGTTTTGAAAGTTTTACAAAATTACATTATACATATTATTTCTTATCCCAATAACAAAATGCAGAAAAAATATTTTTATTTTTATGAAGATGGGATATTCATTCAAACTATTCCAGGATGGAATGATATCCTATAATGAGTAGATGGAGTGAGTCTAGTTTTATGCCGCACCCAGCAATATTCCAGCTGTATGCGGTGGTCTGTAAATAATCGAGCCTGGACCAGACAATCCAGTGATCAAAAGCAAGAGCATCGATCTGCGCAATTGGGAACCGATGAAATGTGTCAACCAAGTCAGCGAGCCTGACCACCCGATCCCGTTAGTCGCCTCTTACGACAATGAGGGTTACTGAAGGCCAATATTCTAACCCGGACCTTCACAGGTAGATGAGTAGATGGATTCTTAATCTTACATGTGAACTTAATGATACTGAAAAAAAATTGTGTTCTTATTCAGTGGAAGGGTGCACCTTTAGAATACAGCACCACCACTACACAATACTATACTATTTGGCACACGCATCTTACTCCAAATCTACAAGATACTGAGTGGTGTGGATTGAGCCAGTATAGCTGTAGATGTCCCCGTGGGAAATTCTCCAGGAATGATGTGCTTTTCAATCATTCGTTGATTGATTTTGTGACAGAAAAAATAATGTGGATCATACTAGGGAACAAGGAAAGCATAAGCATGGCTGGTAACTCCACAAGGGAGAGTCAGCTGTCAAATCATCAGAGTTCGTCCTGGGCATAAAAATTTAGGAGTCATGAGAGGGAGTCATGAACATATTTTTGGGAGTCAACTTCAGTTTGGAACTATCATCAAGACATCAGCTGTGATTGTTTGATATCGACAAAAAAACAAGGTAAGGCAGGCCAGGTATTTAATCAGCACTGAGCAGTTAACTGCCAAACATTAAACTAAGTAGTTTTAAACAACAGCTGAACTAAGGTCCCAGTAGCATTGCGTCAGCAATGACGCAAGCTTCTAAATTCACTGCATATTTAAGATAAATTGTAGATCAAATACTCAGGTTTTCTGCGTCATGGCAAACACTGAATCATTACTGAACAAATGGGTGAAAGTGGCTAAAATGTACATGTCCAACGGTGCTCAAATCAGCAACACTTGGATGTGTGGAGCACAGATTAATATACAAGAACTGCATTGTTGTGCATAATAAAGGGAATTACAGAATTTAAAATATATGCATTTTGATTATCATCATTAATCCAGTAAGTCCCATAAAATAAGGTGATACAGAAATATGAATCAACTTGTACTATGAAAAACTGTACTTTTATAAACTAGAGCTTGTTGTAAAATGCTCTTCTGCAGTCCATATTTAGCATACAGATATTGAAAATCCTCAACATCGGCAGGCTTAATGACAGCACTGAAATGATAGATTACTGAGGGGAGCTACTGCACACTTGATCATGCAGCACCAGTCTGAATCACAGGGCATTGGCTTTTTTTGCAACAAACCCAAATTACACAAATTACATCATAATGTATTATAATAATAATAATTCATAATAATAATAATGGAAATTTATATAGCGCTAAATCCATCCACTAAGTGGGTGCTCAAAAGTGGTTGCTCAATGTGATTGTTAAGTTAGTGGTGCTGAATTCTAAAGGTTGGCTGAGTGGAACTGTTACTCAGTTCATGCAGAATAAATGCATAGCGTAACATAGACTGGGTAGTACTCACCTCCTTTCCAGTCAGAGTCTGAAAGTAGATACATAAGATTCAGTGGTACAAGCATGGGTATTCTAAACAATAAAACATATGTTTTATTCTGAGCAACAGTATATACACAATGTACATGTTCTCAATGACAAACAAAAAACTCATAACATGTTATACAAGTTACAACTATAAACATGTCTTTACATATGATCCATATGGCATATTACAAAGTTTCATACTGAATGTTGCTTTCATGTCCTTCTCCCACATGATGGTCTTGCAGTCATCATGGTGAGATGTGTAACCAATGATGAGGTAAACATCACAACAAATAGCCCAATAGTATCTTGTCAAATAATAGGATGATATTTAATGATGTTAAAAAGGAACACCCTGCCTTTTTTTAGATTATTTATCAACCATGTTCACCAACTATCTCAAAAAGGGGCGGTGGGATAGCCTAGTGGTAAGCGGTTCGCTCTTCACGCCGAAGACATGGGTTCGATTCCCCACATGAGTACAATGTGTGAAGCCCATTTCTGCGTCTTCCCCGCCGTGATATTGCTGGAATATTGCTAAAAGCAGCGTAAAACCATACTCACTCACTATCTCAAATAAACAAGTAGCCTATGTGTACCTGTTGTTTATGTGGAGGTTATTTACTCTATGACTTGAGTTCGAAGATGATTTCACGTGTTCTAAAATTTATCGTGTAAGTTTTCGTTTCGAGTATCTTAATGAAATACCTCAATCCATGTTTACAAGGTGGTCAATAATTCATACAATAACAAATATAGAACATGGAAAGGCTAGGCTTCTATTGGCGGCGTGCGTATTTTATACAGTGAGACTGACTCGATGACATACAAACAACATCACCGTTTTAACAATCGAATCTCGATTTCAAAGAATCATGTTCATTGGGCACCGGTTATAATGGCTCAGTGATCAAACGGTCGCATGAAGTTCTTCACTAAATCGTGTAAATTATATAATACGACATATTTACCTTCACTTTAATCAGCATTTTGATACCGTGAAGCTTCTAGACACTCTTAAAAAGACTTTATGTTTGTATGTGATCTCACTTCCGAAACTTCCGGTGTCTCAAGCAGTGACGGAGCAAACACGTCCGACTGATATCATTGGCTGAAAAGTGAAACACCGACAACCAGTTTCTCTTACTCGTTGCGAAAACGCACTATTCCGACTGAGTTTTGTGTTGCAAGCGTTTGTGAAATACGATGTGACGGATTGAGCAAATTGTGCCAACCGGCGTAAACGTTTATGCTTCAAATCTAGTAGTGAATCCATACAGACCAGGGTGGAATCCAACAGGAATGATTATTTAACCTTTGACACAAGATCAACGATTCAAAATCATTTATGAATGACGTCGTTCAGAGCTGTAACGCAACAACATCCCAATGTATTAATAATTTAATTGTAAGTTAAAAAGTGTCGTCTGTGAGTAGGCTTTCGGTTTATGCGCAGAAAGGAAACACATACATGTAATTCGTTAGTCAATCAAATGTCTTGGAAATTATTATCCTCTTGAGAGGGTGCGCAAGTCCCGAAACTTTCAAAGTAAATTTAAAACCTACCAGGATTTTAAGCGTAGAAGTTTTGTGATTTTTAATTATGGCTAAATTTGACTGCAATTGCCAGCAGTTGAAGGAATGATGTAAATCCAGCTAGGTCCATGTAGGTAGCAAAGGTACTGTAAGTCCCCATGGTCCCTCGTATGGTGATCTACGTTCTGTTGCTGGCGATCTATAGCCCGTTTTTTTATATTGTACTGTGGTCTCCAGTGATTTATTGTAATGATAGCGTACTTGTTTTACAGTAAGAGCTGTGATTATCTAGTATTTTTACTGTCATTCGAGGAAAGGTTTCTAAATTTATTGATTTTAATATTGATATAAATTAAATTGTTATCGTCACGATATGGCTGCAATATTGCCGATGTGACGCTTAATATTAACTCACTCACTCACTCGCCTTGGATTCACTTTGAATATACTATGTGAGTGAGCTAAAGTCGCATCGGCATTGTTAAATTCCACCACACAGCGACTGGAATACACGTATACATCCCTAATGAGTCGGTGCAGATAGAAGATCAATTGCGGAAATCGTAAAACTAAAAAGTCGACACGAAATGCTCAACGAAAGTCCAACTATGTGTCAAAACGTTCCAAGACTAGAACCATTTAACAACAATATACAGCACAGTACTGTTTCGCAAAGGGACAGGAGGTCCAGGCAAATTTCCACCCCCAAAATATGTATACAACAGACGAGAAAAGGATCACCGAGGGAGGCTCGACATGATCAATCTCGGTATCACCCCAGTAGACAACCTTACATTGCATTCTTAGTGCTTTATAAAGTATGCTATAACTGAACGAACCACTAGCAAAGAATATGCGTGGAGGAGTATATAATTTTGCCGTGGTGGTATATTGGTGTTTCGGAATGTTCAACCACTCGGCTGGTGTAATAAAATGTTTTCACAGTCGGTGATGTGACTTCTGTTATACTTACGGTACAGAAGCTGATGTGTGAAACACATTCTTAGTTGAAACAATATCAAATCCGTTTTGTCAGTGTGTAGCGGTAGAGGAGATACTTTCAGAGTGAACACTGAACGAATTTAACTTATGGCTCACATAGGTAAGAATTAATGTGTCAGATAAGATACGTATTATGTTGTTAATACATATGCTGTTAAATGTTGGACCTTGTTATTACAATTCACCTGACGAAGGGGCAAGGAATAGCCCAGAAACGTTGTGACATACAATAAAGAAGAAAGTTGTCATCCACAATATTTGCCTTTTACTTTATCAGATAATATTATTTTCATTGAGACCGGATTCACATGTTTGGGTCCTGTCAATTAAGTACGAGTGGGTAGGGGTTTTTTGTCCTGGAAGTTCGAAAAAATGAAGTGGGGGCGGTGGGGTAGCCTAATGGTTAAAGCGTTGGCTCGTCACGCCGAAGACCCGGGTTCGAATCCCCACATGGGCACAATGTGTGAAGCCCATTTCTGGTGTCCCCCGCCGTGATGTTGCTGGAATATTGCTAAAGGCGGCGTAAAACCAAACTCAGTCAGTCAGTCAAATGAAGTGTGCACCCCCTCTTTTTCAAAAGTGCGCGCACGCACGCACACGCACGCACACACACACACACACACCTTTCTCAAAAAGCTGTATCAGGCCTGTATGGCACCAGGGCATTGCCAACTGCGGCATTAAACTACAAATGCAAACAAACACAATCCTCCCGATCTTTACTTGATAGCGAATATTTGACTTAATGCAGGAAGGTACGAGGAAACAAGATAAAGTAGTTCTTGCACCACGTATATCTCTATTTAGCAATTCCAGTGGATAACGTTGCAGGCATGTATACACAGCATCGTGTCGATATCTCTATAAATCAACAAACGTTTAACACATTAACATTTCTGATAATATATTACTTAAATTGCTTACATGGAAAAAAGGAGCTGAAATACCATATAACGAAGTTGTTATGCTTTGTTTTCAGTGATACGAAACTAAGGGCAGATAAGGACAAGAAAGTGTGATTGAAGAATGATCTCTTCTTACCTTCTTGAGGTTTATATACCATAAGTGTTTGTACAGGTAACACGGATCAGACAAAATTAGTCTACTCATCATAATTTCCCGACTGTTTTCATTGTTGTGGGAGGATTAACAGGTTTCACTCGAGTTGTTGTGAATGTTACTTAGGAAGTGGTGAGGTTTTGATTGCGAAATACTCTTTGTAGGAGATGTAAGTGTTTTCTTAAGAAGTGTTTTCTGCTGCTTCTCTGCTGGTCTGCGTAGTTGAACGTTGAATGACGATACTTACCTAGTACATATCTTTTAATTTTACACAACTGAATTTAATATATTAGCGGCCTATGATTTGTCGGAATTTGTCGGACGTGGACCGCTGTGAAGCATATTTTATTATTTTAAGCATATATTTTCACCGCCGATCATACTTTTACCTGATATATTTTATTTATTTCCCACAAAATGCAAACACTTTTCGTCGATTTTCATCATCATTGAGGTTGAACCTTTTCCCATTTTAATAACGTCTACGAATCCACCGCTCAATCCGTCTACGAATCCACCGGATTTCCACGTCTACGAAGGAGTGAAATACCACATGTATTAATTATTAAATGTGAAAACATTTACACCCACAGACACAGATGACCTGATATACTGATGATTTCTTTAATGTGCACGTGTGTTTGTATATCCAGCGTTTATAACTATATAAGGGGAAACATTGAATGATGTCATTTCAGAAACACGTTTCTTTTTCGTTTCCGGTGTTAGGAGGGGATAGGAGATTTGAACGACAAGGCGAAGCGAGGCCTTTCTTTTTAATGCATATCAAATATTCATAGATTGATTTCATACTGCTTTGCATCACATCTTGCGACTGAAGAACGTCCTCCTACTCACTCACTCATGAAATGACGTGTCGACAATCAGGAGTGAAGGTTTCTTCACAAACATATATAAATATACAATTTGACTCATAAAAATATTAACTTGAACGTATAAAGTGTAGAGACAAAAACAAACGTTTCACACAAGGCATTCATCATCCAGAAGTTACATTGAATAAGAAAGGTGTTAAATACATTTTAATGTAGAGTGTGTGTATGTTGCAGCCAAGGAACCCATCGCTTCCCTGTTTTGTCAGGCCAAGAAAAGACCCGAGATGTTTACCAACAACAACATTTTCCTTGTAACGTCGTGTGTTAGGTCCAGTAATGTTGACTGTGTGTATAATGTACGGCAAGCCATGCAGAGTAAGGTCCCTTGTCTTGTTTACGACAATCACCGGGAGAAGCTATCCGTTTACGGCACAGGCTACACGTGCTCGAAAAGTGTGCTCGTTGCCAAATACTGACATCAAGCATGGGTCGCAAACGCAATCTCGAGAACCCTGTAAAGTCAGGGCCTGGTCGAAAAGCTAAAAAACAAAAGGAACCAACATTTCCTGCTCTTATCTCAAAAGAGACGCCCAAAACGCTGAGCAGTCGACAAAAGAAGCGAATGAAAAAGAGAACTGAAAAACAACTGATAAAATCAGCCGAAAAGAAGAAGTTCCTCGAAAGTAAGTCACTAAAGAAACAGATTTCTAAGAATGAAAAGGGCTTAGATAGTGGGAAATCACAAAAGAAAGCTCAGAAGCGAAAACTGTCTGACGACGAAGAGTCTGACGACTACAATTCTGACATAGAATGGAGCGACCTGGAAGATGAATACAGCTCTGAAGAAGACGATGGGTGATGATGATAAAGTAAGGGTTACACAGATGACAACAAGGAGTGGTTAAAGCCGAAAAGGAAGCCAAAACAGGAGTCTGATGATGAAGATGATAGTGGTGAGGAAATGTCTGACCAAGGCTCAGAGGAAGAGGTTGATGAAAGTGAAGACGACGGGGATGATGATGATGACAGTGATGCTACTGATGATGAGGATGGTGATGATGACATGTTGCCAATCGAAAAGGCATCCAAGAAACTGGAAAAGAAGCACAAAAGAGACATGAAGTTAGCTGAAAAAGAGCTGAAAACAAACATCGCTGAAAAGGAGACATATGTTCTGCCAAGTGGTCAAGAGGTTGAGAAAGAAGCAAGTCAGCCCCCAGACTTGGCAGTGATACAACAGAGAATGAAGGACATTCTTCTTGTACTTAGAGAGTTTAATGAAAGAAGAGAAGAAGGCAAGAATCGTAATGACTATATCATGCAGCTAAGAAAAGACCTGTGCTCATATTACAGCTACAATGACTTCCTTATGGAAAAACTGATGGAGTTGTTTCCTCTGGAAATTGTGGAATTTCTTGAAGCTAATGAAGTTCAGAGACCAGTTACAATAAGGACAAATACGCTGAAGACACGTAGGAGAGATTTAGCACAAGCTTTGATAAACAGAGGTGTTAATCTTGACCCTATCGGTAAATGGTCAAAAGTTGGACTGGTAGTGTATGACACACAGGTGCCCCTTGGAGCCACACCAGAATACTTGGCTGGGCACTATTTGCTCCAGGGGGGCTCCAGCTTCCTCCCTGTAATGGCTCTGGCTCCACAGGAAGGGGAGCGAGTTCTGGATATGGCTGCTGCCCCAGGGGAAAAACTACCTACATCGCTGCCCTGATGAGGAATACAGGTGAAATATTTGCAAACGACGCCAACGCTGATCGTGCTAAAGCTATAGTAGGCAACTTACATAGGATGGGTGTGATGAACACTGTCGTTTGCAACTATGATGGAAGAAAGGTGCCAAAGATTATTAAGGGTTTTGACCGCGTGTTGTTGGACGCTCCCTGTAGTGGGACAGGTGTTATTGCTAAGGATCCGGAAGTGAAGATGAACAAGGACCAGAAAGATATTTTACGGTGCTCACATCTGCAGAAGGAACTCATTATCGCTGCGATTGATGCCATTGATGCTAAATCCAGCACTGGAGGCTATCTTGTATATTCAACATGCTCTATACTCGTGGAAGAAAATGAATGGGTGATTGACTATGCATTGAAGAAACGGAATGTAAAGCTGGTTCCCACTGGGTTGGACTTCGGAAGAGAAGGATTTGCAAAGTTCCAGGATCACCGATTTCATCCTATGATGAAGCTCACACGTAGATTCTATCCTCACACACACAATCTGGATGGGTTCTTTGTGGCAAAACTGAAGAAATTTTCCAACGTCATTCCAACTGACGATAGCACACCAAAGAAAAAGAAGAAATCAAAGGTGGAGACAACTGAGACGGACGAGTCTGGAATCGGCAGCGACGATGTAGAAGAACCATCTGTGGTCCCTAAGGAGACCAGAAAGGAGAAAGCAAAAGGAAAACAGAAGAAGGCAAAAGGAAAACAGAACAAGAAACAGAGTGGTGGAGATATTAATCATGAGAAGGGACTTCAGATTCAGACTACAGGTGGAAAGAAAAACAAGCAAGAGAAAAACTTCAAACCAGGGAAGAATAAGAAGTTCAAATTAAGTGAAAATGTAGATACTGAAAATAAAGGACAGAAGAATGTGGTGAAAAAGCATGGTAAGAAGAAATCAAAGAAGGGGAAGATTGCTTGATTGCAGTTGGAAACGTCTGGGACTTTGTGTGGTATCCGACGAGATGGACATAGAACTGGAAGTTTGTGTGGTATACTGACGAGATGAGTTTGTTGTCACTGTTTATCATGCTTGGAGAAAGTAATGTTTGTAATTGTTACCTTGAACGTGAAGGAGAGCCATGTATTGTATCTGAGTAATTAAATGTCACAGCCACAAACTGTCCTGTTAATGTGTCCTGTGTGTGGCGTGGTGCTGCAGGTGGAGATGGTAGATGGGGCAGAGATCAGTCCAAATTTACCATCCAGCTACCTGCTACCTACCCACCTACCTGTTGCAGGTCTCACAGAAATACATAGTGATTGACTGGGAATTGTTTTAATAGAACCCTGGCAAAATCTATTTTGATACACATCTAAAACAATCTGACCATACACACAAACTGCACACATTAACCATTTGTAGTGTTAATACTGTAAGGCCAGTGGTTAAAGCATTTGCTTGTCACACTGAAGACCCAGGTTCAATTCCCCACATGGGTTCAATGTGAGAAACCCATTTCTGGTGTCCCTCGCTCTGATATTGCTGGAATATTGCTAAAAGCGGAATAAATCCATACTCGCTCACTCATTGAAACTTGCTATACAAATCAGAAATTACTTATTTGCCAATAAATTTCATATTACAGTACAAACTTTATCTAGGATGTTGCCACCGGCGGGTAAATTGGCTCAAATCATGGTTGTGTCTAAAGTAGTTCATATATTTGTAAATCCAGAGGTTTTTTTAACATTGTGCACAATGTAATGATGCATCTTAGTCTTTTTGGCCTGATAACGGTGACCTAAACTCTTGTAAGTTTGAGGACAGTAGAAACAGGGCTTGACCTTTCAGACCCAGGGTCCCCCACTGATTCTGTATACTGGTTTTATGTTATGTGACATTACTTCTGTTGCAGTCAGGAGATTCTACATCAATGTGAGATGATTGTTAATACTGTAAACATACTGAACAAAAAATTCACTTCGTTTTCCAATCACAAAACACTGATATTTTGTGCTATATCTGGAATACAGTCAACAATGGAGTTAAAACCAACCTTACACCTTGAGTCAAGGCCTTCAGGCCAGGACCTATCCTCTGTATGGAGCTGGGCAGCGAGGGGTTGCGATGTGGATTTATTGGCTACAGAACCAGTATGTCATACTTGATAAGGGCTGTGGCATAGTCTTTGAATCTCTGATTTCAGCCACACCCATGTGACTCGATGCTACTCTGGAATAAAACTTCAATGAACTGGGTGGGAGCTAGTTGTGACTTACTGGATGGGATGGTAGATGGTTGTGACTTGCTGGATGGGATGGTAGATGGTTGTGACACTGGATGGGATGGTAGATGGTTGTGACTTGCTGGTTGGGATGGCAGATGGTTGTGCCTTACTGGATGGGATGGTAGATGGTTGTGACACTGGATGGGATGGTAAATGGTTGTGACTAACTGGGTGGGATGGTAGATGGTTGTGACACTGGATGGGATGGTTGTGACTTACTGTCAGGGATGGTAGATGGTTGTGACACTGGATGGATCAGAAATGGTTGTGACTAACTGGGATGGGATGGTACACCTACGGATGGTTGGTGACACTGGATGGGATGGTAGATGTTTGTGACTCATTGGTTGTGATCGTAGATGTTTTCAGACAAACTGGTTGAGATGATAGATGGTTGTGACTTACTGATGGGATCAGTAAACTGGTTTGGACATGGATGGATCAGAAATGGTTGTGACTTACTGGATGGATCGTTAATGGTTGTGGAGTTACTGGATGGGACAGTAAATGGTTGTGGACTTTACTGGATGGGATGGTAAATGGTTGTGACTTTACTGGATGGGATGGTGAATGGTTGTGAGTTACTGGATGGGATGATAGCTGGCATTGGTTGTGACTTACTGGATGGGATGGTAAATGGTTGTGACTTACTGGATGGGATGGTAAATGGTTGTGACTTACTGGATGGGATGATAGTTGGTTGTGACTTACTGGATGGGATTGTAGATGGTTGTGACTTACTGGATGGGATGGTAGATGGTTGTGACACTGGATGACTGGTAAAATGGGATGGTAAATGGTTGTGACTAACTGGGTGGGATGGTAGATGGTTGTGACACTGGATGGGATGGTTGTGACTTACTGTCAGGGATGGTAGATGGTTGTGACACTGGATGGGATGGTAAATGGTTGTGACTAACTGGGTGGGATGGTAGATGGTTGTGACACTGGATGGGATGGTTGTGACTTACTGGATGGGATGGTAGATGTTTGTGACTTGCTGGTTGTGATGGTAGATTTTGTGACTTGCTGGTTGTGATGGTAGATGTTTGTGACTTACTGGATGGATGGTAGATGGTTGTGACTTACTGGTTGAGATGGTAGATGGTTGTGACTTACTGGATGGGATCGTAAATGGTTGTGACTTACTGGATGGGATCGTAAATGGTTGTGACTTACTGGATGGGATCGTTAATGGTTGTGACTTAATGGATGGGATGGTAAATGGTTGTGACTTACTGGATGGGATGGTAAATGGTTGTGACTTACTGGATGGGATGATAGTTGGTTGTGACTTACTGGATGGGATTGTAGATGGTTGTGACTTACTGGATGGGATGGTAGATGGTTGTGACTTACTGGATGGGATGGTAGATGGTTGTGACTTACTGGATGGGATGATAGTTGGTTGTGACTTACTGGATGGGATGGTAGATGGTTGTGACTTACTGGATGGGATGGTAGATGGTTGTGACTTACTGGATGGGATGATAGTTGGTTGTGACTTACTGGATGGGATGGTAGATGGTTGTGACTTACTGGATGGGATGATAGTTGGTTGTGACTTAATGGATGGGATGGTAGTTTATTTGTCAGACTTACTGGATGGGATGATAGTTGGTTGTGACTTACTGGATGGGATGATAGTTGGTTGTGACTTACTGGATGGATGATACTTGGTTGTGACTTACTGGATGGGATTGTAGATGGTTGTGACTCACACTGGATGGGATGATAGTTTGTTGTGACTTACTGGATGGGATGATAGTTGGTCATGACTTACTGGATGGGATGATAGTTATTGTGACTTACTGGATGGGATGATAGATAGTTGGACTTACTGATGGGACTGTAGATGGTTGTGACTTCCACTGGATGGGATGATAGTTTATTGTGACTTACTGGATGGGATGATAGTTGGTTGTGACTTACTGGATGGGATGATAGTTGGTTGTGACTTACTGGATGGGATGATAGTTTGTTGTGACTTACTGGATGGGATGATAGTTGGTTGCGACTTACTGGATGGGATGATAGTTGGTTGCTTAATTTTACTGGATGGGATGATAGCTGGTTGTGACTTACTGGATGGGATGATAGTTGGTTGTGACACTGGATGGGATGATAAATGGTTGTGACTTACTGGATGGGATGATAGTTGGTTGTGACACTGGATGGGATGATAGTTGGTTGTGACTCTACTGGATGGGATGGTAGATGGTTGTGACTTACTGGATGGATGATAGTTGGTTTGTGACTTACTGGATGGGATGATAGATGGTCATGACTTTACTGGATGGGATGATAGTTGGTCAGACTTACTGGATGGGACAATAGTCTCGCCGACTTCTCACCTGGATGGGATGATAGATGGTTGACTTCACTGGATGTGGATGATAGCTGGTTGCTTGTGACTTACTGGATGGATGATAGATGGTCATGACTTCACTGGATGGATGGTAGATGGTGACTCCCCACTGGATGGGATGGTAAAATGGTCATGGACTCTCACTGGATGGGATGGTAGATGGTTGCGACTTCACTGGATGGGATGGTAGATGGTCATGACTTCACTCGGATGGATTGTAGATGGTTGTGACTCCACTGGATGGATGATAGTTCTTGTCGCTTTGACTTACTGGATGGGATAATAGATGGTTCACCTACCTGGATGGGATGGTAGATGGTCATTAACTTCACTGGATGGATGGTAAATGGTTGCAGACTTACTGGATGGGATGGTAGATGGTCATGACTTACTGGATGGATGGTAGATGGTCATGACTTCACTGGATTTGCGGGATCAGTAGATGGTCATGACTCTTTACTGGATGGATTGTAGAAGGTCATGCGACTTCACCGGATGGATCGGTAGATGGTTGTGGACTTCACTGGATGGATGGTAGATGGTCAGCTGACTTACTGGATGGGATTGTAGATGGTCAGGACTTCACTGGATGGGATGATAGTTGGTCATAATTTAACACGGATGGGATGATAGATGGTTCAGTAACTTCACTGGATGGGATGGTAGATGGTTTGTGACTCCACTGGATGGATGGTAGATGGTTGACTCCACTGGATGGATGGTAGATGTAAGATGGTTGTGATTGACTTACTGGATGGGATGACCCCCATGGATTTGGACTTACTGGATGGGATTGTAGATGGTTGTGACTCACTGGATGGGATGATAGTTTGTTGTGACTTACTGGATGGGATGATAGTTGGTTGTGACTTACTGGATGGGATGGTAGATGGTTTGTGACTTACTGGATGGGATGGTAGATGGTTGTGACTTACTGGATGGGATGATAGTTGGTTGTGACTTACTGGATGGGATGGTAGATGGTTGTGACTTACTGGATGGGATGGTAGATGGTTGTGACTTACTGGATGGGATGATAGTTGGTTGTGACTTACTGGATGGGATTGTAGAATTATTTGTTGTGACTTACTGGATGGGATGATAGTTTGTTGTGACTTACTGGATGGGATGATAGATGGTTGTGACTTACTGGATGGGATGGTAGATGGTTGTGACTTACTGGATGGGATGATAGTTTGTTGTGACTTACTGGATGGGATGATAGTTGGTTGCGACTTACTGGATGGGATGATAGTTGGTTGCTGGACTGGATGGGATGATAGTTGGTTGTGACTTACTGGATGGGATGGTAAATGGTTGTGACTTACTGGATGGGATGATAGTTGGTTGTGACTTACTGGATGGATGATAGTTGGTTTTAATGATTGTGACTTACTGGATGGGATGATAGAAATGACTTACTGGATGGGATGGAAGATGGCTGCGACTTACTGGATGGGATGGTAAATGGTTGTGACTTACTGGATGGGAATGAATTTATAGGATGGATGGTAGATGGTAG